GCCGCCGGCTCCCACAAACGGAAATTTCATAAGAATACTCTTTGCCCTCTCCTCGATCTATCTGCCACGATCTCATTATGAACAAGCCGGAAACCCGAGGGAAATTGAGAGTCATATGGACTAGATGTTGACCTCAACTTCAAGACCAATTTGACTGCAGAAAGCTACAGACAACCGGTGTCAACTGCCACGGTCTCGAGAGCTCCGGCCGAGAAGAAAGAAATGAAGTAGGGAAGAAATTGACGTCTGCGAACTCAAGTTCTTCTTCAAGGTGCTCGATAGAGTAGGACCTGCCTAGTAACTAGCCGCATGCTGCTGCCTGCTACTTTGATATCTTCGGACTGAAAGCAAGGGCTTGAAACAAAAAGGATCTTGGGAAGCCAAAGCTACCTGTTCTAGCACCGGCCACAAATCGAGATGCCCGAGTTACTGAATACCTTGACGAAGCTTGCCGGACAGTGTTCGGGTATCTCAACTATCAATTGTGTGGATTCTTTTCTTCCTTTTTTTTTTTTTTTTTTTGCCTATTACTTTAAAGGGGCACAGGCGCGGACGTATCTCAATGATGGATGCTCGCGGTCCACTGTGAGGTCCACTTTTCTTCTCTCCAGGAAAAAGAAAATATTCAATTCCTTCCTTCTTGGAGTTCCTGGAGAAGGAAGGATCTGATGCTGGGAATCTATGTAGGGCCATTGCTTGCTGCACCCAGTTTTGCCCGCTGCATCCATGCCTGTCAGATAGTCAGACTATCAATGATGAGAATCACAAGACTTGGGGTGATTGAGGATATGCCCCCCCTGGTGATGTATTTGCAGAGAACTTGGAAACGATTATGTTTGTCGTTATCGTCTAAAGTGGCCAAGATGTTGTAAAAAACACGTACGTATTAGGCTCCGTTCCGGGATGCCTTGGGGGGTTAACGCGCCATTGACGGTTTAGTATTCTAGCAAACACATCAACAGTGAGCGAACATGTCATTAGATTGGAGTGGGGATATGGGAGCGATCGTCCCAAGACTGAGGGATCCCAAGGCTGAGGAACCAGTCAAAGAATCGTATTGAAAATTTCGATGGTAAGGTAGCATTAGGTGGGAGTGGCAGCTCATGTTTGCGGTACCGGCATATCGAGCCTGCCACGTTTTCGAGTGACCATTCGTTTTGCCAAGATGGCGGGAAAGTGGGCACTGGAGTTCATTGGACGCATCCCCTGGCTCATGCATGAGGCATGGAAAGGTCTGACGACGATGGCCTCCTGGGACAGGTCTAGCCCGGGACTCCGGGGCGCCAAAGCTTTCTTATTCAGACGCGGCTCCTCGTATGTCTCATTGCCTACTGCAGAGGTGTTGCGAACTTGCCACTCTTACCTTCACCAACTGAATCAGCGGCTGACAGCCCCTCATTTTCGAACCTCTTGACCATCTGGCCATCAAGTGCGATTCAATGTCAGGAATCAATTTGAGCCCCAACAAACCCGTGACGATATCATCTAGATGGGGAATATGAGAGCGAGGCAAGAGGGCAGCAATCACTGCTAATGTTTGCCTCCTTACCAACTGCCACCGGCGATCCAACGGTTTAGTAACTTAGTTCGGCATATTCATCCATGTCCTGATGGCGACGTCCAACCAGAACACTTCATGCGCCGGCACCAACAGCAACACCAATTCGCTTGTTTGCTAACATGATGCATATCATCCCTGTCGCACACCCACAGGCAGGCACAAGGTCCGATTACATCAACTTCTCGGCCGCAAGGGAATTTCCTTTATCTTCGTCTTATATCTGCAAAGCATATTCCCGGTGCTCGGACGAAGATGGATGAAGCGCAGACGGCAAGCCGCATTCACCTTTCTCACTTTGTGTGACCAGATGTTCCTGCATCCAATTTGTTTGGACTCCCACTTGCACAATGGTTTCCATCGCATACCACTCGGACCACGACATCTCTGGCATTCTGACTATCTCACACGGAGTACTGAGTTTTGTGGCCACTGTTCTCTTCTTGCTCAGACTTTATGCCTCATGGAGGACACCACATGCAATATGGACAGCAGATGTTCATATTTCTTTGATAGCTTTGGTAAGTACTCGCCACAACTCACGTTGAAATAATATGAGACATGGCGCAAAGTGGAACAAACTGACTCAAAGGATAAAAGCTGGCAAATCACGCTTTGCTTGCTATTGAACTTGCCGGTAAGGTTATCCCGATGATCTTCGAGGCAACAAAGCTAACGCTCTAGTCTAGCTGTTCCACTCGGTCTTGGGATCAACATTCAAGATGTCATGGAAAATCAACCTGGCGGTACGGCCCCTCTGTTCAAGGCAAGTAAAGACTCTTTGCAATCCTCAGCGATTCTGTGCCAAGTAATAACTGACGCGCGAGATCTAGTGTATTCTGGCCATCGACATTATACACTGCGTAGCATGCTCGGCTGCCAAGATAGCAGTCCTCGCGATGTACTACCGCCTTTTCTCAGCTTCAAAGGTTTTGCGGTGCTGGGTATGGGGAACAACGATCGCAATCTTGCTGTGGCTCACTGCTGTGATTTTTGTCAGCAGTAAGTGATCTTCTAGTGGAGACTCCTTCGTTATTCCTTGGCTTTCGACCTCGGCGATCAGTAACCATCTTCGAACGAGAGACAGTACTGATATTCCTGCACAACGCACAGCTTTCTCGTGTCTGCCTGTGGAGTACCACTGGGATAAGTCGCTTCCGGGCAGCTGCATGGGGATCAGCAAAATAGGGATTCTATTCCCGAACATCCTCTTCGACATCATAGCTATGGTCCTTCCCATCAACGAGATATGGAGGCTTCAAATGCGACGGACCAAGAAAGCGGCACTCACAGGCATCTTCTTGATCGGCGGCAGGTATGGAAACACCTTCATCAAGCCATGCTTGCCCCCGAGTCAATGGCTGACTTTTTCCAGCGTAATCCTCATCTCCATCTCCCGACCGCTTCTCTTCTGGATCTTCCGTCCGGTGCCCGGTATAGCGCACAACGTCAGCCAGACAACCATCTTCCCCTACACGGCATCGGCCGCCGAAGTCTGCCTCGACATCATCGGCGCCTGCCTGCCGCCCTGTGCGTCTCTCTTCAGGCGCTTCTTTGGTGGCGTCGTGAGCGTTGTGAAATCAGGACATCATTACTCCACCTCGCGGGGCAAATCCAGCGGCAAAGATTCGTCTACAAAGAGGTCCAGCAAGGTACACGCACTCACCATCGGTAAAGCGAGTAACCGCAAGCGGGCCGCCGCCGCCAATGACACAATCGATCTCGAGGGGTCTTTTGAACAGCTTGGGGACGGTGTGAGCTGGCAAGGGTCGACGGACGAATTGTATGGGATGGATGATCTTCAGCACAGCAAAGCGAACGTGGTTGATGGCAAGGAACGTGATGGGATATGCGTCAGGCATGATATCCAAATTGATCATGGGGGCACAGTTACGGAGGAAGACATTAGAAAGTGGCACCGAGGAGACGTCTTCGACGGGAGATCTAGCAGACTTTCGGGAGAAGCTAGGGGATTATGAGTCTTCCAAGTTGCGTTTCTACTTGACTGATGTAAGATTTTGTACATTTTGGATCTATAGTATATGCTTCTTCCGAATCATATGTTGTCTGTGTACAGGTTGGTATCCGCCTCCACGGTTCAATTTTCCGTCAACTTTTACTCCTTATGTCAGATATGACTTGAGCCTGGAGTACAGAAGCCTTACACCTGCCCACCGGTTGCTACTTTCTCACAACTCAACCCACTCCTCCAGGTCCTCCCATTGCGGTATCACATCCTCTTTATATTCCCTATCCATCGAAACCTTCACCCACTCATCATCCTTGCCAAAGCCCAGATCAGCCTTTTTGAAATACGCCAGAATGATAATACATCCCTTATTTCCCAGCGAAATAGCCATGATCTCGCCAACGACCTCGTTCGCGAGCTTGTCTTTTGGCGCGACAGTGACCTGGACATTCTCCCGTTTCCCTTTCATGGCGACGTCTCTGCATTCCGAATCGTCGGTGAACGCATGTATACGGACGCCATATCCGGTGGTGGTTTTGCCCGCGGCGACGAGTCTGAAGCAGTTGATATACTTATCGTTGATTCGGACAGAGATGGATTGTTCGAGGTCGTCAAATTCGTGGGTGGGCTTTTCGCGGGGAGGTGCAAGATGTCCGTATCGCTCCATGTAACCATATGAGGATATAATGTTTTTAGCCGAGGAGTTTGATGTGGGATTCTGAGACATTGTTCCAGTGAATTGTACCGATTCCTTGTGAGTTGGATATCTTGGTAGCTGATGAAGCTTCGTGAGGGAGATGTTTTTGTTGTGCAGAATGTTGCCCTGTTGTGGACTTCAACGCAGGCTAAGGCTTGATAATCTAGTCGCACTTGGTTATATCTCCGAATGCTTTCTACCCTATCCTCAGTTAGAATGAAGTCACCAATTAAATACAAAAGTTCGAGAGAAAATGGACATATCAGAAAAGACTAATCCATTCGTGGGCAGACTTTGAGTTCTCCAGTTCCGTGGTAGCGGAAGAGAACTGCCTTCGACTGCTAGGCTCAGGTACCTTGTTATCGAAGGAAAATGAATTTCATGAGTAACAAGTACGATTCCATGGCCCAAAAGCTCTTTAACATGTTCTTGAGTTTTCTATCTTGATTTTAGTTTTTCTCATGAGATCCTTTCGGCTACCTTTCAGGCTACTCAGCACCATCAAGGTCAGGAATTGGTCCACCCTGAATACCTGGCAAACAGGTTCCTAGCCCGAATCCAATCATTTCCGTAGTCTTGTCCAGAATGTCCTCCTCATCTTTGGTCTCAGACCTCAAATTGTTGAAAAGCATCCATATCCCACTCCCTCACCTTTCCCCTCGCCACCCCACAAGGCCTAAAGTGTTTAAATTCAATTGTAGCAAGTGCAGACACTGTCCAAAAAGTCAACAACCATCAAGGCCACAACACGGCACGAGGAAAAGATGTACGAGAACTTACTTCTTGGAGTTGCAGTATCCACCAGTTCCCTTCAACCCAAAACACTACACCAAACTCGTCAGCGAAATTCCATCAACGAGCCATGAAGATCCGCGTCAGAAACAATACCTTCACCTGACAAGCCTTATCGCCCAAGAACGAACACGTCCATCCCTGACGGGTCTCGAGGATCTCTGCGGCGCGCTTGACGACTTCGGTCTCTTCTGCAGAAAGGATAGTACGGTCCTCGAGCTGTTCAGCCGCCGCTGCCGGTTGCGCGATGGGGTTTGCGAAGACTGTCGTTGAGGAGATGGCCAGCGCGGCGACGGAGAGGAAGGTCTTTGAGAAGTGCATTTTTTGAGGAGAACGTTCGTCTGTTTGGATTGAGAAGGACGAGGTATTTCAGTTGTGGGACAAGGTAGATGAGTGTAAGTAGGACTTGCTTGGTGGATGTAGTGATCAAATGATAGAACTTGTGAGCTTGGAAGTCTAGAGATATGGATGAAGAAGACCTTTCGACTGTTGGTCTTTATAGATATTCCCCAAGCACATCAACGACCCAAGCTCTACCCCAAGCCCGTCGACATCTCCAACCTGTTCACGTAACATCTCCCGTCTTCCGTCTCCCTCTCTCGCTCATCTCCTTCGCAGCTAACTTTCGAAGGCAAAGATCCGCAGACCAAAAGTCTGACGATCTCGCGGAGGATAGTTGTGGCTGACAACCTCATTACAAGATTTTCATGATCGGCAAGTCTCACGGGGACGAAAACCCTCCTCTCCTCAAGGCGGATATTGAGGCCCGAAGATTACCGATTACAACTGACGAGTCAGGAATAGATAGCAGGCTGTAGTAAATGACTATCACGCACGGCAGGTTAGCCTAAGAGACCGGTACCTATGCCAAGAAGCCTATCCTATATCTGGCCCCGCAAAGCTTCAACTCCCTATCACCTCGTGGCGTAGCTTATCAGACCAACATTGAACCAAGAACGCGGAGTCTCCGCAGCCGCCTCCGCTATGTTAATAGTTCACTCAAGTGGCAACGTATAACCGACCGAACTACTACGTAAACTCAAGCAAGCTTTTGGTCAAAGTGGCCACAGTAGGTAGGTAAGACACAAGACCCTGAAAAATAGCCCCGCGCCGGAAACAGCCTCAACGTGGACATAGGTAGACTGGGGAGGCTAAAATGTCTCTCTGGTGGAGGCCAAGACATGGACTAACAAGTTGGCATGCGGGTGTAGCCGCCGCCGACGACGCCGAGCCCGGTTGATCTCCACGTTCGGACTTTTATCACGTAACAAGTCGTCCAACGACAATGGTAAGCAGCCAAGATAGCCACTGTGACAAGTCAGAAACGGGATGATCTCCTCCTTCAGATCGCCAGGGAGTCAAAACAGGCTTCACACCAAGACTTCTAGGTACCCCGACGACAAGCCCTGCATCGCCTGCGACTAGCTCGTGGGTACGGTGAACGAAGTTGGAAATGATCCGGGTAATTCTGACACAGAGCTGAACGAAGCTGAAGCTGGACACCTAGGCGCAGAAACACCATAAAAGCCAAGAAGCTAAGAGCTGTCAAACTCCACGATGTCTCATGACCTCCTCAAATTCGCATTTCTCACCATACGCCAAGCCACAGTAGCCACCCGCAGTCATGTTTGCCACATCAAGGGGGAAGCGAAAAGCCACACCTGCAACGCTAGGAGAGCGGCCCGTCGGCCGGGAGCCAAGCTGCTTCCCTTGGTGTAGTGTGTGCTTTTTGGTGGCTCGGATGTTCTTGGCGTCCGTTGAACGTGGGCTTGCCATCCTTTCGTCCTTGTGTACATAGCAAGCTTGCTTGCAGTCTGCATGTCCGCCGCAGAAGCAAGTGCGTCTTTCCAAAGTCTTTGCACCTGAAAGAGTACTCAAAGTGCAGCATACACGATAAAGCCTCTACATAATCAAGAGACCACACGTATCTAATGTTGCAAGAAGCTCGTCCTCGCGTTCCGAGCAGCTGGAGTCGGAGACCGGGAATGAAAGCTCCGGTTCAGACCCTTCGCAGTCATGACGTGCTCGCCGAGACGCAAAACAGGCTGTCAATGTCATCGGGAGAGGCAGGGTCCGCTGGGCCAAAAAGAGCTTTCAAGCAGCATAAATAAGCTATTTTGACTTTCTCCTGGCATACGGCTGGAAGATACATACAAGTCCCAGAAGGAGCGGAGGAATGGAAGCAAGGATGATAATTACCTGAAGACATGCATGTCAAACCTGCACTCTTATCGATCGCGAAGAACTTTGTGGGCAACAGAATGCCTGTCTGACCATGCAGGGAAGCAAAGGGCTACTGGGTTGAACGTGATTCGACAGCACAACAGCTGCAGGCCTCGCAGCTACTCTGAGGCTCGGGCACGCGCGCCCTTGGGGGAGAACGTCGAAAAAAGGGAGTTCTGGCACTCTGGTTGAGAAGACTCATGCCCGTCTCAAGCCCTTCCAAGGTGGCCAAGAGCCCCGTGTACATAATGCCGTCCATCCGTCTCCCAGAATGTCGGATTCCGCAGGATGAGACCAACAATGGGCTTTTAGAGGTGAGGAAGAACACATTCGAGCTGAAAAGATGCTTACTGTAGCCCAAGCCTGACTGGCTGCCGAATCCCGTGCGATTAAACCTTCCGCCAGGACCACCGGGAGACTAGCCGGCTTGATCCTCGAGTGTCAGGTCCAGCCAAGGCATTAGGTTCTGGGGTAAGTAGAGTTTTCTCTTGTCAATGTAACTTTGATGAGGAAAGCGTAAGAGCCCAACTCTGTAGCACGATAGGCGAGAGAGAAAACGGCTAAGCTCATACTGCGGATAGCTCGGAGGGGTTCTGTCTTGGTGTCCGACAGGTGGTGGTAACATGGTGTTGAGTCTTGTCTGGGGCCAGTCGCAAGCTTAAACATCCCCCGTCATCCAACCACGTTGGGAGAAACATACGGGCCGTGGTCACCGAGTCGTTGAATGAAACTTGGATATCGAAATAAGGCCGCGGCGGATGCGTGGGGGTGACTTAGCTTGGGGTGCTTCGTTATCGGTGCCTTTTGGATCTCCGACGCTTTGTTGGTCGGTGATCGGCCATGGGTGTTGAAACCGCGCAAAGAGCCGCCCGCCACGTGTTGGTGATGGCCGTATGTATTGTGATACGTCTACCGTGCGCGAAACCGCAAATTCTCACACAAGACATGACGTTGAGGTTCCCATTGCGAAAAAAGAGGAGCAGTCGAACTCCGTTTTGGATCTCCTTATCCTCCCCCCGGTGCATCGTACATCCTCATTTGCGGTAGTGTAAAGGAGGGAGGATGTGCGGGGGATTTTCCCGTAGCCCTGCATCCGCGTTAATGAGAATTAAGGCTTATGTTCCAGGAACAACCCAGTGACATAAAGCGTTACGACTCGAGGAACTTCTGGACCACTGCACTGACTATTGCCTCCTTTGGCCGATAGTTGGGGTGGCTGTGCGTTCCGCTTTCCGGTTTCGCATTGATTTCAGATCCCGCCGTCTCCCTACTTGATGTGCGTGTTCTCCTCCCCCCCTGGGTCATTCTGCCCGCTCTCATCAAAATGGGTGTTGGTCGCATATTTTCTCGTCGACGTTGGAGCCGGGTTGTTGAACAATCAGATTCTCATCACCAACAGTCGCCGGCAGTTTCTACCATGCCCGACGTCGAGATGGCCCGAACGGGAAGCGTACAACGGCAAGGAGAGAAGGAAGAGGATACCGAATACAGGCCATTGAATTGGAAGAAGATCTTCTTGACGCCAAAGTATATCCGTATGAATCATCCAGTCGGCATCGAAAATACAGGGGAAACTGACTTGGGCGACGTGCAGCATTTCACCTTTTGGGCATAGCCATCATTGTGGCGACAGTCTTTATCAGTCTTCATCATGATGAGGTCGTTGAGGTATTTGGCATCTTATTGAGAGCGAAGAAGGTGCATACACTAACATGTACGGCAATCGTAGAAATTGAGACCCTTTTCTGAAAAGGTCCGGTCGCTACCCGGAGGGTTCTTGATTCCGATCGCCATCTTGGTGCTGATCTCGTTCCCGCCCCTTTTTGGCCACGAGATTGTGGCTCTTTTGTGCGGTGTGGTGTACGGCTTGTGGATTGGATTTGCCATTGTCGCAGCCGGCACTTTCATCGGAGAGAGTACGACGCTCATAAGCCCTCACGTATGACCAGATCACTAACTCGGCCTGCAGTTGGAACCTGGTTTGCGTTCAAGTACACCTTGCGACGCAAGGCCCAAAAGCTGGAGAGGACTAACCTCAACTATGGTGCTTTGGCGCGATTGACTCGCGACGGCGGATTCTGGGTACGTTCATTGACAAGCGTAGTTTGTGTAGTTGAACTGTGTGACTGACACCTAACAGATTGTCTTCATCATTCGGTTTTCGGTCATTCCGTCCCATTTCTCGACCGCGGTGTTTTCGACATGCGATGTGAAGTTTTGGCACTTTGCTGTGTCGACGTTCTTGACGCTTCCGAAGCAGATCATTCTCGTCTACCTCGGTGTCCTCCTGATTGAGAAGAAGTCGAACAACAGCAACAACACCATCAAGAACATTGTCTTTGGCGCAACATTCGTTCTGACCATCGCACTCGCGATATACATCTATGTCAAGATGAGAAGAGTCAAGAAGATGTTGTTGCAGGAGCAGGAGGAGAGGAGAGTGCAGCGAGAGTTGCAGGAGTTGCCTCAGAAGGCTGAAGTCGACGCAGTCGAGACGGAGATTGTACCCCTGCAGCCAGGCGCAGCGACGGTGCGAACAGACAGACCGGGATACCCACACTGGATTTGAGGGCTAGCAGCCATGATAGGGAAAGATGGAATCTTGAGAGAAAACAGATGTCTAGGGATTCAGGACACACAGGGACGGGGGAACATGGGACAATTGGTTTTCGGAGTTGGCGTTGGCATGCGCAACATAGCGTTTGAGGGCAAAGAAGAAATGATTGGCTTTGGTTCTGACAAGATGAGCGCCTTTCCTGAAAGTCGCAAAGTGAATGCCGGCTGTACTGGCTTTGCACCAGTGGACAGGAGGCACTGACAAGTTGCCAAGGTTTGCCAGCCACCGGAGTTGTTTCCGTCGAGCGAAGGCACAATAGTACGAAGGGTCAGAATCTTCCGATATCGACGTTGGCGAGTCGGTCTCGTGCGTGAGATCGTTTCGAGATGCGCGACATACAGAAAGGCGCCTGAAATTGCCAATTCTAGACGATGTGCTAAGACAGATCAGACTGTACTCGAAAGCCCCCCCAAGCTGCTGTACGCATCAGTTGGCTGATAGAAACACATACTTTGGTGATTCTCCTATGGTTCAATCCAGACTCTTGCTGCACGGGGGAGGATTGGGCTGTTCAGCTCGATATCTCTAATTATCAGCCAGGTTGGCTTTCAGCTAAGCAGTTGATCGTGGCCGCCTCGATGGGGTTTCTGGAGTTGGACTTGGACAATCTCCATATCAAACAGCAACAGCTCTATCTCATCGGATCTCTGCGAAGTGTATGCCAGAAGAGGGAGTCATCTGTGCACTCGTTACGCCGTCCTTGGCATCTTTGCGAGAAATGCCATCGAATTCCGGCAGGAAGGTGGGCTAGACATGACGAGCCGTCCCCTCGCGATCCGGTCAATGGGATGATCCCGGGGGAGTATGATGTGCAGAGAGTTTTTCCGACCTAATGGGAGAATATCTCCGGAAGAAGTCCGTGATGAGGTCGAGACTTGAGTTGAAGGTTGCAGGTGTGACAGGTTGGGGGTCGTCGAGCGAGTCGTTGAGGATCCGGCTGAGTCGTGGCTTGCAAAGGAAAGAAACAAATTTGAGGAAGCACAAGCCACATTTCTCTTGCCCTGGACTTCAGTCGCTGTTTCCTGCACCCAAGCCAATGTGGGATGCCGCAAGTGACTAATTCGAGGTCGGCAAGACTCAAGCTCAGAGCGTAATTCACCCCGCCTCCGGTGCTGAGTCCGCTGTGGCCGATGCCTCTGGAGTCTTCTGCAGGCCCGGACCCCGGAGCGGATTCTGCGCGCTGGACGGTCGTGGTCTGGTCCCTGGGCGGGGACTCCTGCTGGGGCTGAAGAGGTAAAAATAGCATCAATCTCAAGAAATTGTCCGCAGCACGCACTTACAGGGTCTACGTCGGTGGCTGTTCCGGTGGCCCTGTTTCGTTCATTCCGGGGAAATGAGGATGCAGATGGCTCTGCGGCCTGCCTCGAGCAAGAGATTGTTCCTACCGCTACGGAGTGAAGTTCTAGATGAGAGTAGACGGGTCAGCTCTGCACGGCAGGTGAGCGACGGTGAAGGTGGGTAAATGTTCACTCATACGCGGAGGAACCGGTAATAGAGTGCCGTCCATTCCTCATCCGGAGTTCCTCCATGTCGTTTTCTCTCTGATGCTCCATATGTCCCATGTCCGGGCCATGACAGGGGTAACGGGTCTTCGATTGAAGCATTTGGATGATGATCAGAACAATTATCAAAGAGTTTGCTGTACCTCAAACCACGTGAAGCCATATAGTCATGTTTGACGGGACGGATAAGTAGTGTCTTGAGCAATTCAGCAAACGTCTTCTTTTAATGTTTCATCAAAAGAAGACTCGTTTGATGAGGCTCAAGTACAGCTTGGTAGAGCCCAGAAACCTGACCATACCTTAATGAGCACAAACGCCTTGGCCCTCCACCATGACCTCATACGCGGATGAAACAACGCGTTTTCTAAGGAGCTAAGGCCAGCGGCCTCCAACTCATCAGTTGGCCTGCTGTGAGTACGTATGCAGTGATGCACCTGTGCTCTGGGCTATGGACGGTTCAGTATTTGTGGACAGACACTTGGAGACAGAGATGCAGGAGGCAGGGGGCTCAAAGACACGATGTGGAAATCAAGACCCAAGAGTCAAGATCAGGGTCTTTCCGGTGGCATTTGGGTAGCATTTGCAGAAGCTTCATGTACCTTACTAAGGTAACGTGGTAACCTAACGTCTCTTGGCAAATGAGCAATAGCAAACTTGCTGCTAGTCCCCTGATTCCCGGTTTACTGCCGTCAATCACCAACTCGATTGAGGAATCCGTTGGCGGTGGCGTTCGCATCTTGATTTCCCCCCTTCCTCAAGTTGGACCCTGCAATCGCCAACCAGCTGCAAGCCGCGCGCAAAAAACGGCCCTTTACTTGCCGTGAGATGCTCAGGACCTAATCGTAGCGCGGCCACTATCGACTTCGGGGTGGCACGGTGCGTGTAGTTGGTGATAATTGGTAGTTGGAGGCTTGAATAGCAAACTTTACAAGGTTGAAGAAAACCTGAAGAGAGGAACTGGGACCAGATAGGTGAAGTGGGCAGGAGGAGCCTGGCTGAGTCTCGAGAAGCCGTCCACAATCCACGGTGGTGCGGCATGCTTTTCCCCTTCCCTTCTGGTCCCCCCAGTCCACTCGGGTGCCTTCTCTCGCCCAGTTCCTTGGTATTCAGCCATTACGAGTACAATCCTGGCCACTGAGAGCTGCTGCGCCTCCTTCCAGACCACCCATCGTCTGTCTACCTTGCCTTTAGTCTGGTCTTAGCCATCAAAACAATAAATCCAGCTTTGTTTCTTTTTTGGCGTCTCAGAACCGCTACATACATAATCGAGACCGTTTTACCCAAAGTCCCAAATCGCACCGAACATCATTTGCGCGCGATTCGAAAGTCCCGAACCAACATCGCTCAAACCCACCCAAATTACGACGTCATGGCTGCTGTGCCGTCAGATCCTCCAGCTGTGGCTGCCACCACCAACACCAATTCTGTCCCGACGAACGGCGATGCCAACAAAGCATCTGACTCCACGGAGACAGCTACACACGCCGCGGAGCCCAATGCTACGACAACAACCGAGGAGTTGAAGGCCGCTCCGGAGCCCAAGAGCGCAGAGGACACAAACAGACTGTCTTCGTCGAACGGTCAAGATGCGACGGGGGACGAGCCGAAGCCTAGTCTACCTCCTCGGCCGACATCAATAGACGCCAGGGAGGGACTGCCGCCCACCGACCAGTCTGTACAACAACCACCAAACACCGCCACGACAACGAGCACCAGGTCGCCAAGGACCTCTACGACTCAAGGCGCTGATACGGCAGCGACCTCGATAGAAATTGACAACACCAAGCCCGCCGACTTCGAGGGCGAAATCTCTACCAACAACGACCTACCAACGCCCCAGATTCTGAAGAGGATCGAGAACTACGTAGTGCTAGATCGTCATGGGAAGAGCCACACGTTCAAGAGCTTATACACCGGTCGCAATGTCGCGAGGCGAGTCCTCGTCATCTTCATCCGCCACTTCTTCTGCGGCGTAAGTCTTCAACCAATCCCTACACAACTCTTCTCCTTGCTAACCCTACCAAGAATTGTCAGGAATTCCTACGATCTCTCTCCGAATCGATAACCCCCGACGCTCTGCTGGGTCTTCCCATGAGCACGTTCATTACCGTCGTCGGATGCGGCAACCCTGGTCTGATTGAAATGTACCTCCAGGAGACGGGCTGCCCCTTCCCCGTCTACACCGATCCTACGCGACGTCTCTTCGACACCTTGGGCATGACGCGCACCCTCGCGCTAGGAGCTCGACCGGCCTACATGCGCAAATCCATGCTCAAATCAGCCGCCGAGAGCGTGTTCCAGGGGTTGAAGCAGGTCAAGAGCGGTCTAGCCACAAAATCGGGCGACCACAGACAAGTTGGCGGCGAGTTCCTCTTTGAACCACTCGAGCTCGTCACACCCGTCTCAACGCCATACGCCGAGCGGCAGATCGAGGAAGCCATGACGTCGAAAAAGAACAGCATCGACAATAAGGAGGGCATCGACGGAGAGGGTGGCGACGATTTTGAGCCGGAGGAGAAGAGAGTGACGTGGTGCCACCGCATGCGCTCCACGCGAGACCACGCCGAAATACCCGAGCTGATGGAGATTCTCGGACTCAACGGGTCCGGAAAGCCTCCCGCTCACGAAAATAAGAGGTGGTCCAGGGCACTGGAGACGAGGAAGGGCACTGGGTTGAGCATGGCTAGCCAGATGAGCAAGTTGAGCGAACAGGAACGAGCATAGGAGCGGCAAGGCTTCTTTTGGGTCGTGGACGGGTCAGTACGGTCCATCCTCCGCCGAGGCTCCGAGAATTGGGGATGATTTTACTCATAGGTTACGGATCCAGGCCGTGCTGCGTGGTGCGTAGATGACCGCGGGCAAGCTGCCAAGTGGTCTTTCTTGTTGTTGTTTTTTTGTTAGGATTGATATCAGCATAGCCACTAAATGATACCTGCAGCACACATCACATCTTACAACTTCATGGCAGGACAGGTTGCATATGACAAGGCGACGGACCAGGGGTCTCCTCGATGACTACGTTCCAGTGTGGTAAGATGTGGTTGAATATACTCGACGAGTACGGGTGCCTCATCCCATGGACGAGATGAAGGGAGCTACAAGGTTTGATTACAGCCAGATCATCCAAACTCGGGCACAACTTTCTACCGCTGTCCCTCGTACCGGCCACAACTTGAGGCCTCTTAGGTTACAACCCGTCTTACGTCTCCTTCGCCATTCTGGGGCCAATGCGGAAATCAGCAGGATGTTGCGAGTACGACGAAATACCTAAAACCTATCGTCAGATGAACTAAGGCACTGCCAATCTCATCGGCTGAGTCGGTACCTTGCATCCTTCCGGCAGCCTCCGGCATCTTCGCTCAACACCACACCTTCTCGAAAAAGAGTCAGATTCCTGGTCTTCGAGCTCGCGAGCTCGTATAGGTGTCGCTCCTGACATGAGAGGACGGCGACATGACCTTGATTTCTAAACTTCTCTCGTTGTCGTCTTTGCTGACGACAAAATGTCTCAAATTCATCGCCAACAAAGCTCTCAGGCTCGTTCTCATACCCATGATCCTCACAACCGGCCCGAATGAAGTCACTACAAAACTCGGATCCTTCAAGAGCCCAGCTTTTTAGTATATATACCAAGGTCACGAGAAAGTCTGCTCCGCCCTACACGAAATGTTTATCCAATCGGCCGCGAACCCTGAGCCTTTCTGTCACGGTAGGTATTGGTAAGCTAGCCGTAGATGGGCACTAGTTAGACCTTTCCTTCTCGTTACCTCTTTTGGAGAATGCATGTTCCCGTGGAGGCTGTCAAAGTGCTAAGCTTATATTTAGAACATGCAAATCTGGGGAAAGGCAGGCTACCTAAGCAAGTCACTTAGGGCGTAACTTTGTAAGCTTAGCCCGGCAGTAGCTTCTTCAAATTCCCGGCTGAATCTGACTGGCCTTTTTCGTTGTCAGCTTTCGATCTTGCAGGGCTGAGCAACGAACCCGCCGAGCAGGGAGGGCGTGCTGACGGGCGTGAGATCCTCAGCCCGGGTTTCTTCACTTACCGCGAAGCAGCAGCTAACGCAACGCAGGAAACCGCATGGAAGGAAGAAAAAAAAAAGCGGAGGGATTTTTTTGGGAGATTCGATTCTTACGGCTATCTCAGCAGGGAGATCGTATAGGGTTTGGTCTTTCCAAGAAAGGCTACGACAAAAAGTCTCCGCAAGGCTTTTAGTGAGGCGGAGTCGGTTTCTTTTGCCCTACCTTGGTAGATGACTTGCGAATGTTGGCCTCGTGGTGCCCGTTGTGATACCCGAGAGCTGAATGCTGGAGGATTGTGACATCTCCCTCACTCTCCATCAGCCGCGATGTTGTCTCTCAACTCGCCTTCGCCTGGTGAGATTCCGGGCGCAGCAGTTGATGATCCTTCTACGAGGTATCGTGATGGACCGAAGAACCTCTTCAATACGAAGAGGACGACGAGATGAAGATATCTATAAAGCAGGATACTTCCCTCGTCTTCAACAACACCTTCCTCTCATCCACACCATCAGCAATAGCTTCACTTTCAGCCTAACAAGCTTACCAACCCCTCAACTTCCTCTCACCAACCAAACCAGAATCCCCCTTCCAAACCCAACAATGCAGCTCACATCAATCCTCATCACCGCCCTCGCAGGCCTCGCCACAGCCCGCTCAACCCCCTCCGAACGCCGCCAAACCTCAACCCCAAGCTGCCGCCTCGTCGCGCCCACAGACCTCAACTTCGGCGTCGCCGACCTCCGCTCCGGCACCGTCGTCACCAAAGTCCTGACCTTCCCCGTCGGTCCCACCACTGCTGGTCCCTGCCAGCTCGTCGGCGCCTTCAGCCAAGGCTTTCCCATCGACCAGGGCGGCGACGCTTTCGCCCGCCTCAACGTGCGCGCGCTGGACGGTCCCGCTGCTGGTAGCTTGGTCGGTAGCTTTGGGCCGCTCGAGGTGGCGAATGACGCTGTTGTCAAGGATACCGTGCAGGTCGTCAACAGCTTTTCGTGCCGCGAGAGTTTGAGCTTCGAGTTTGCTATTGCGAATGATGCGGATGTTGACGTTGATATCAATGTTGCATTCACGGCTTCTGGGCTCGGCGGGTTCTTCGTGCAGGTTGGGGACCAGTGCAACTGAGTAAAATGTGCTCGGGATATGTCCTAGACGAGGAGAGGCCAGGTACTTGACTTCTTCTCAGTTTCGGTTTAGATGGTGGGATTTGATATTTTGATTTTGCATTTGGGAAGCGCGGGTTTACTCGGGGTCTGGCATGTTGAGCAGCGTAATCATGAGCTCGGGGATTCTGATTGTTGTAACTTTACTGGTACTTCTACCGACTAAACCATTCTGTCCTGAAAGTTTCCTCAGTCCTTCATGAGTTCCCATCGATCCGCCCGTATACCTCAGTCTTCTTCCAGCTTAGCCACCACCCCTCTTTGCTCTTGCCTCTCTATCCACCACTTTGGTCGTCCGTCCACTGCCGACAAGCAAATCCGTATCACTGCCATATAGCAATATGATCTGGTAATTGATTCGAATTGGGACATTCAGAAAGTGCCAAAAGCCGCCAAAGGAGGGCAGACAGCCGTGTAGCCATCAAGAGTCGTCCTGAACGTACAATTTGTCAGTCTTTGATCGGAATGAAGATGGGGGAAGTGACCATATGCATCGAGATATACCTATCGAGATATACCTGGGACTTCGATAACTCACATTCGGTGGTTGAATATGTATACAAGTAGCTTCCACTGCATCTTTGTCTCTGCCTTCACGGCACGAAAAGTCGGCTGGAACGCGTTTGACCTCCATGCGAGCTGTAGTCTTGTAGACGATAGGCCGACTTAGGCTGGGAGGCTACATAGTTTCGGCAGGCTCATCGATAGCCATGGCCTCGGAAGAGTTGCCGTTGGCGGCGTTGCTCTCGGCGAATCCGTTCTCGGCGGGCTTGTCCTCGAAAGGGTTGAATTCCAAAGACTCCAAGTTGTCAGAAGCAGGCTTCTCAGTTCGAGACTCGATGCCCTCAGGCTTGTCATCGCCAGGCTTGTCGTCGACGTACTTGCTGTAGTCAATAACGCTTGCCTCGTCCCAGTCAAAGGTGTTCTCGCAAGACGCGCATCTAAACACCCGCGCAAGAAAATTAATAAGTAGCCGCTCAGAAAATAAGAAGAAACAACGCCAAAGTAGTAATTTCCACATGGAGCAAAGGAACTTACTGAACGTAGTTACAGCCACCATCAGCCTTCTCAGCAGGGGACTGACAGACCGGGCACTGCTTGATGGTCAACTGCTCCATGGTACGACGACTCTGACGCTCAAGCTCCTCCTTAAGCTTTCCCTCCGCCTTCCAGCGCGCTTCAACCTCGGCACAGGTCTCGCCCTGGTGAACCTTGTCGCCGCATCCAATGCAGGTGAGCTTTCCGCAGGGGCAAGTACCAGTGCCGCTGACGGTGCCGGCAACGTTGTTCAGACCGAAGCGGTAACGAAGCGGGATGTAGCGGCCGCAGGCAGTGTCATGGCAGTACAAGGCGGCGTTGCGGGAGACCTCATCGGCCTCGTCGGCGAGGTCGAAGTAGGTCGTAGCCTCCTTGCGGCGGAGCAACTGGCGGGCCCAAAGATCGGGGAAGGGCTTCTGGGATCCGCAGCCGCCGTCGCACTTAGGCTTGCGGAACGGCTTCGAGATGCACGACTTCAGGTAGGCGGTCGCGCAGGTGGTGCAGTAGGGATCACAACCACAGGAGAAATCCTTGCGGGTGGCTTTCTTGCAGGCCTTACCGCAGAGAACACAATCCTTGATGTCCTTTTTGCCCTCCATGATATTGATGCTTCGAGCGTGGGTTTTCGAATGTTGATGGGTGTTGGGGTGCCGACAGCTACCTTGAGGGTGAAGGTAAGCTGATAATGGATCGGGAAAGTGGAAAGTCCAGGAACGAACTTAGGGGTTTGATTTAGAAGAAGGATGGGGCCTGAAACTTCTGGCAGTCTACAGGGCGCTCTTGTTCTTGCCTCTAGATAGGTCTCCTTTGATGGGGGAAGGCACCCTGGCCGTGGAAGGCCATCGTGAGAGCCTCTCGGGAGCACCGGGACGTGGAGGCGCAAGACCATGAAGTATTTGTGGCCAGCCCGGGCTTTTAAGACGATGTCCTCACGAGTTCGAGACGGGGACAGCTTGGCCTAGAAGTGTCTGCACTGAACGTGGCCACCAGAAGGCTTGAGACTCGAGAATGCTTGAATATCCAAGGCTCTATGACTAGATGTGCATGAACATCAATCCCCAAAGGTCTAATGTGAAATTGATGGGATTACAGCATAATCAGAAGAATAAAGAAAGGCAATCATTGACAAGATGTGGTGTAATTGCCGTCAAATTTTTTCCTGGAGTAATGAAAATATTGGCGATGTCTTTGTCTTATGGGAGTGGTTTGAAATATCGAGGCTCATTGAATACCTCTAGTTCTCCTGTCCTCAGATGTTCTTTGGTGCTTTGAAGGTCTAAGATTTGACTTGACTCTCTCTAAATGACAGGACGAAGTAGGAATCCACCATCTGTCCACAATATCCACAATGCTTTTGCAGTTTCGGGGCATGGAACGATGGTCTCTGGAACTTAAGATTCGGACTGTGATATATCCATGACAGGCTAAGTTGATCATTGTCTCATGGCCAACATTTTGTTTGCAGGGTATAACTTTCGAATAGGTACCACGAGAAGTTTTCGGTCTTTGCCCAAAATACACAATTGAGTGGACAATCTCTACTTAGTTAGTGGAAATAAGGTTCTATCATGGCTTGTTACATCTACCTTAGATGATCATCTTTGAATGGTATTGTTTTAAAGACATAGATAGGCGAATTCTGTGGTAGAAAGGCATAGCAAACCTTGTTGATCATCTACCCATTCTGGACCATGGCATATCGATGCATGAGTCAAATTTTGGGTTCAAAGTTGAAAAGGGCAGTTTGAGCTAATGAGAAACCCCTTTTTGTTTTGTGGAAGGAGTAAGCACAACTAAAACTCAGAGCAGAGTAACCCGTTGATAGATAAGTAACGTCTTGTTATCGATGCTCCTTTTCTCGACTAGGTAAGTCTCCAATACTTTTCGAGTTTTTACAATCTTATTTGGCTCGTAAGCTGGCCTGTGTACCTCGACTTTATGAGTGTGGTATGCACGTACTGGCTCTCCGTTTTAAGTTGGGCCAGGTAGGACATTGTAATATGTAGGAATTGAAATCCACCTCGATCCTCACACGTTCAGTGAGTAGAAACCAATTTATTTGATACAACTTACCTTGGGATGCACTTAGCCTCTCACAAATAGACATAGATGTATGGAAATGGTGCTCACTCGGCCGTACTTGGGATATCACGTTGTACTGCGTATGCACCGTAGCAGCTTGAGGTTTGACTCATGTTACACCAAGGCTCTTCTCAGTCTAGACACTTCCGAGGGTATGCCAAGGTCTTGACCGATTCAAAGCGCTTCGACTGTAGGTCATGATCAAGGGCATGGGCTATGTATCATTGGAGCACTTTGATTCTACCCCGCAAGATTAAAATAACCTGCTGGCTGGTGTCTCAGGCATACTCGACACAGTTTGCCATACTTGCTCGGAATTTGAAGAGGAGCAACAGCATAAGGGAGATCACGTAACGGCGAGGGTAAAGACAGAACCATCCAAAAGTCATCGAATAAGGACTGTAGGCTGTCACTTGTCGCCTCAATATCCACAAGGGTTCGCGTTGGACAGACTAACATCAGTACTAGCCCGATTTCCCCTCTCAAGCGGTCAAGCTTACGTTTGCTTCTTGGCTAGTTTAGTGTGTAGCTTCGAATGTTATCCTTGGTTGACCACACCTTTTCGAATGCAACATTACAGCAATGTTTCATTGGCTTGGGCTCTATCACAAGAATCCTTCGAAAGTCACCGCAAGTCCAGCCGCACTGAAATACATGAGTAGACGATACACGCAGCCGGATGGTAGCATAACCAAGGTGCAGCAACACGGCTAACAGAGGCTACGCACTCATACGTAGAAGAATGAGCTGCATGTCCCTCATGTTGCTAGACACATACCGTTGAGAAGGCAGCCAATCCGGTGTTTCTCTCTGTCTATCAACCCCGCAGCTATGCCACAATGTTGTGATCGTATGTCTTTCAGCTGAATCAAAATGCGAAATATATACCGTTCAGCTATGCTGATCTCTTCGGAATAGTAAGACGGGCATGATATTACCCCTTTGCATCGAAAGCTTGATGAACCGACTTGGAAGCCAGAGCATGGAATTATGAATTATTGTTAAGAAGCTTATAAAAGCTATGAAAAGTTAACGAAATAGTCATCTTAACTAAGAAGCTCGAATCCATTTAACTGTAGCTGTTGAATCTTGCGTGAGCCTCAAGCGAATTAACAGACACAAAGGTATAGCCCAGCTATCAAAGCCTCGTGATTTGAAAGACAACTGACCAACTCTATGTTTCAGAAATTCGCCCAAAATGCGCTTTGCCACATCCTTAACCGTTTTCTTCCTCGCCGCAGCCGCCCAGGCCAGCGTCGCCCAGCAGGATGAACCTTACGCCATAGCCGCGCGGGCTGACACGGACGAGCCCGTGGCCATACTGGAGAAGAAGGAAGAGCCAGGTCTGGAGAAGAGGGCCTGCAACTACAACGGATGCAAGTGCGACAGCAAGAACAAGCAACTCACCGTCTGCGGCAACTGCGTCTGGAGCCGCGACAGAGGCTACGTCGTGACGAGCAAGAGGATCGCCAACCACATTTACGAGTGCTCGCCCAGCGGCAGATGCTGCGACTACGGTGTCGCCCATGACTGCGGTTCCCTCTCTGCTCGGTGCATTGTGAACTAATTGGGCGGCAGCGACTACTACACTTATTGTCTGAAGGGGTCGACTAAAGGAGCAGAATGAGCTGTCATCTCGGGTTCACGGCAAAAGTTGTGTTTGAAGGTGTCGTCTCAAGTCTGTATTTACCTCGAGTCACTCGCTCAAGTCGGTTTAGATCGTGGGGGTTTGATTCACTGAAGTTGCAGAGGAAACAAAAATCGGTACAAATCATTGGAGGCAATTATGGTTCCATGCAGGAGTGAAGTGCGTAAAGTTGCATGTTCCTGGTTCGAGACACTTATAAGGCAAGACGAGGCGAGTCGAGCCTAAAAATAGTGTATCAAATGACGTTGTGACGTGTAAGAGAAGCAAACTTAGCCGACTTGAACCACGATCTGCCGCGTGCAACCCGCAGTCTAGTCGCAGCCCACGGGTAATAGGCGTCTGGAACCTTGTAATTAGCAAGGCCAGAGTTGCAAGAATACGCGCCTCCCATGGTGGTTTTTGATGGGGGGTGGACCGCTTGGCCGCAGACTTGGCTCTTTTTTTTTCTAACCGTTCCTATTGCCCCTGGGGAATTTTGCGACTCAAGACCTGAGAATAGACGATCGGTTTTGCTTGGACAAGACGAATCAGGTGACTGCTATTTACCTCCATACCCGAGTTTAGGGAATATTTTTTCACCGCGCCTGTGGAAAGCTCTTACCAGGTGAAACGGGATTGGACATTGCATCCCTTAAAGGGGGCAACTCCCCGGTTAACGACTTACGGGGGCTTACCCCGCGCAGTTGCGTTTACCAGGTGGGGTTCAAAATCTGTGTTGCTCCCACCACCAACTTCACATCACACGCGAAATCTAGTATGCCAAGATGGCTGCCCAAGTTCCCACAGAAGCTTTGAAGAAGCTCAACGGTATGGCGCTCTTCGCCGTAGCTACCGGCTGTTCGCCCATCAAGTCCGGAACCTTATGCTAATCAATGATTTTTACCTTCCAACAGTGGGAGAGCCTGCGACGAACGGCAAGGCAGCGAAGCCCGCGGAGGGAAATGGGGTCGACCACGACAGCGACGACTCGGATGAGGAGGGCGAGGATGTGACGGCACCCGCCGCCGGCGGAGCGGCCAAGAAGAAGAAGAAGAACAAAAAGAAGAAGAAGAAGAAGTCCCCGACCGCCCAGTCCGACCCGCCCCGCGTGCTCATATCCTCGCTATTCCCCCAAAAGAACTACCCCAAGGGCCAGGAGGAGGAGTACCGCGACGAGAACCTCTACCGCACAACGGACGAGGAGAAGCGCCACCTCGACAACCTCAACAACGACTTCTTGACAGACTATCGTGAGGCCGCCGAGATCCATCGCCAGGTTCGCCAATGGGCGCAGAAGAACATCAAGCCCGGCCAAACCCTGACCGAGATTGCCGAAGGTATCGAGGACGGCGTGCGTGCGCTGACGGGACACCCTGGTCTCGAGGAGGGCGACGCGTACAAGGGCGGCATGGGCTTCCCGTGCGGCCTGTCCCTCAACCACTGCGCGGCGCATTACACGCCTAACGCCGGCAACAAGATGGTGCTCTCGCAGGAGGACGTTATGAAGGTCGACTTTGGCGTGCACGTTAACGGACGTATCGTCGACAGCGCCTTCACCATGGCCTTTGAGCCGCAGTATGACAACCTTCTCGCTGCCGTCAAGGACGCGACCAACGCCGGTGTCAAGGAGGCTGGCATCGACGTCCGCGTGGGCGATGTCGGCGGTGTCATCCAGGAGGTCATGGAGAGCTACGAGTGCGAGATTGACGGCGTGACGTATCCCGTTAAGTCGATCCGCAACCTCAACGGCCACACGATTGAGCGTTGGAGCATCCACGGCACCAAGAGCGTGCCTATCGTCAAGAGCAACGACACGACAAAGATGGAGGAGGGTGATGTTTTCGCCGTCGAGACGTTTGGTAGCACGGGCAATGGATATGTCAGGGAAGATATGGAGGTGTCTCACTACGCTAAGCGTGGAGAGGGCCATGCCGCGCTCCGGTTAGATTCAGCCAAGAGGCTGTTGAACGTCATCAACAAGAACTTTGGCACCCTGCCTTTCTGCCGGCGTTATCTGGACCGTTTAGGACAGGACAAGTATCTCCTTGGTGTAAGTTGGCATCTCCACCGCTGACTGAAGAATATGAGCTGACGAATAACAGTTGAACAACCTCGTTGCCAGCGGCATTGTCGAGGCTTACCCGCCCTTGTGTGATAAGAAGGGCTCCTATACAGCTCAGTTCGAGCACGTAAGTAACAACTTGCTACTCTTTGTCAGGGACAATGTTAACCCACGCCATCCAGACCATCCTGCTCAGGCCAAACGTGAAGGAAGTAATCAGCCGAGGAGAGGATTATTAGGCGGGGTGAAACCGGCCAAGGATAGGTATTGTCGTGGGTTTTCCTTCCACTTATCAAGACTATCGTTCAGAGATACATCAAAAATCCAAGCAATCGAGTCCAACATGACCGTACCCAAATCTTTGCCGAGAGTGTACGACTTGTAGTGAATTCTGCTTAAACCAGTGCTAAAGGCATCGAACGTCAGTCTGTTGTATACGACGCGGAATTTGGGAACAGCGTTAAGCCTGTCTCCAGGGCACGGTGAGTGTCCACATTTCGGGAGGCCAGCGATTTTCCCACGCCGATGTATCGGTATCACTTCGCACAATGCTCAAGAACGCTGAGGTACTATCACAAGCATGCATGATGCTTAGATGTGTCTACTCGAATCCGTATGTTGCATGTTACCTCTGCTATCGTTAGGCAAAGCCCAGAGCCTGCCATGCCAGCATGCTCGCAGCCCTCTCTTAACCCGTAATTCAAACGTTCTTTGAGTTCGCGAGTCGTTCGCGGCCCCATAACGGGATGCCGTCCCGTAGCCGGGCACAACGGGGCAAATCATAGTGGAGACCAGCTCCGACGCAATGGTCCGGAGCGGAAGACTCGATGTACAGTATGGCCGATGGTCTTGCGGATCGAAGGCTTCCGTTGCCGTCTGTGTGAATCTAGTGGTTGTCTGCGGTGATGTCAGATGCCATCACCACGAGCCCGGAATGGAAACCGATCGGAACCCGCAGATGAAGACGGGCGACGGGCGAAGTGGGTAGAGCAACACGGAACCCAGCGATTGCCTTAGTAAGCATGGAGCTAGAGAGGACCCCCTGCGCCACTTGAGGCTGAGGCGTGTCAGCATGGCGTCAATAAGAGGCATGCAGAGGCAAGATCATGGGCCGATCCAGAACCGACGACCACTCATAGGCATTTCCCCCGAGCGAGACTTGGCTGGCGCGACCGTTCACTGGTCGGCGGACTGGAACTGCGGTACCCACTTATTTCTCCACCGCCAATCCGCGCATCTCTGGTTCTCCAAGGGTCCGATCGGCGGCGTCCAGAAGCACGGAGAAGGGCATGACAGCTTCATCCGATATCCACCTCGGATATCCAGGTAGCATGAGAGGCGTCGGCCGCGGGTCGGCTGTCGGGGCCTGTAGCAGGAAGAGGCCTTGGCGGAACCTGCTTTTCGTCGTCCCTTCTTCGTCACACTCTCGGGCTGGGCGAAAAGTGTATTCATCCATGGATGTGTGTGTGTGTGTGTGTGGCGGGAAAGAGAGGAAGAGCTTGGGCCCAGTTTCCTACTCGCCGACTTAGCTTTCTCTTGCGGCTTCCCGGTGGGTAACGGGAACGGTACGGATGTCAGCGAGAAACGGCGTTTGGGAAGAGGAGAACCGACAAATGCTCATCCGCGGATCCACCTTTAGGCCAATCACATGCAACCAGCGATTTCACATCGGCGGCCAGCCCGCGTCCTGGAAGGTGCTGGGCATTTAGCACCCCCATCCCGTCTCTTCCCCCCTCGTCTCCGACGTTTTCCATCTCCATTGACGCGGTCCATGCGCGCCATACCCGAAACAGGCAGCTAGGCGAGGTAGGAGGCCCCAAGCCGAGCCAGACAGCGCGCTCCCTGCGGTGGAGTTTTCGTGCCTCCTTCGCTGCGAGCTCGCACGCGCCACCCCGAATTCCCATCTTTCTCCGGGGCACCGGCTGGGCCACTTGGCCCTGGGGGGGAAGGAATGCAAACTGCTGCAGTGCACCAAAATCCCACTGAGAAATTTCCAGCGCAAAAAGACCTTGTGGGGGCCTTGATGCCTTGGGAAGCGTTTTTCCACGCCCTGGTTGGTCAGATCAGCTTCCTAAAAAACCCGCACACGACACCTGCTCCACCCTCCGGCCTACCGAAGCTCGCAGCGCGCTGCTGCTCTCGGTTTTTTTTTTCTCGCACCCCCGTCCGATTTCCTTACTAGCAAGGCTCACCTATTATTTTCGCATCCCTTATATCAACAATCGCCTCCCTCTTCCTCTATTTTCCTTCCCGCAATAAAAGTTGACTCATCACTGTCGATTGACGATAAACAAACAAACAACGAGATACAACTCAGTTTGACTCGTTTCATTCACGAATACCCACGACACTTACACGATACCCCGATACCAATCCCGAAGACACTAGAGGCAGAAAAAAAAAAGCGACGAAAACCTTCCCGTTCGCTCCATCACACGAGCTTCCTTTCCTACCTCGCCCGCAAAACCCGATACCCAGAAGTAATATCAACCACCACTACACAAGAACCACATTCAAGATGAAGGTCTTCTCCAACGCAGTAACCTTCAACTACTCCTGGGAAGAGGTCTCAGCAGCAAACTGGCGCAAATACTGCCCCTGGAACGACAAGACGACGCACGTAATCGCCGTCGACACAATCGGCCGCAGCGTCGACCCAGCCACGGGAATCCTCCGCACCGAGCGCCTCATCACCTGCAAGCAGTCCGCCCCCAAGTGGTTCGCCTCCCTCGTCGGAGGCGGCGGCGGCGACCCGGACGTTTCCCACGTCTTCGAGACCTCCTACGTCGACCCGGCCAATAAGACCGTCACAATGGTCTCCCAGAACCTGACCTTCGCCAACCTCATCTCCGTCCAGGAGTCCGTCGTCTACAAGCCCGTCAGCCCGACGCAGACGCAGTTCGTCCAGGACGCGCAGATCACCGCCCTCTGCGGCGGCTGGCAGCGCATCAAGAACGGCATCGAGGACCAGTGCGTGTCGCAGTTCCGCAACAATGCGCAAAAGGGCAAGGAAGGGTTCGAGATGGTCCTGGCTATGAGCAGGCGGGTGTTTGCCGAGGAGCGCGAGCGCGAGATGCGTGTCCGCCAGGGCGCTATGGCAGCATGATGTGGCTGATGATGATGAAGATTTGAGAGTCCACCACGTTGACTCTTGTGTCTTCCCCCATCCCGGTTTGCCACACGACACTCGTGTTATGCAGCGTTCCTCGTCATTTTTTACATCTTTTCTCAACAAGCGGGCAGCATCACCACAAAAGGATCCGGAAAAGGGGGTTTTTAGACGGCGTTCAGACATCACTTTTTGTTTTTCCGGGCGAAGCCCAAAGACGTGGATGCGGATCTTCCACTCAAACCACTCAGGTTTAGAGAGGATAACCACCATCCCCAACTGTATAAAGACCTTCGGCGTTCAGGAATATCCCTACATGATAGAGCATCCGGGGGTTTTCCTCAGACAAGACATTTTCTTCTCAAGGTCCATTGCGACCAGAATTAGAGTGTTTTTAGAAATAATAGACCCCTCACAATGATCAGCAAACTTTATTGCCTCAACATGGAATTGTCCACCCGTTTCATCGTGATTCAGCAGAAATGCCTTATCCCATGTACCGACGCAATTCACTGCCCAACGAAACTCTAAGCTGAACGTGAAGAACTACTCGCTACAAGCCACCACGGTATCCCTTCTACGTGAGGTCGGTAAACCCTTCATTTCTCCATTCGGCCCCGGCACTTCTCCTCATACCGGACCAGCGTCTCCTTGGTATCCCGATCCAGCGCCGCCTCGCTCCCGTCCAGGACCCGCCTCGCAAACGCCGCAGCCTCGCCGAACCGACGTAGGAAGTAGAGCTCTTCCACAGCATGCAGGAGCTCTTGTAACACAGGCTTGCTGGCCTTTTCCGTGTTGAGCGGTAGCTCTATTGTTTGCCAAACCTAGCAAGGCAAGCATGTGTGTCAGTCGAAAACCACTCTTTCTGATCATTGTCTGCTACAAGAATAGAGGGGGCAAACAGGCGGAAGGGGAGGGGAGGGGGTGTTCTCCGCGGTCCAGGGTTCTCCAGGCAGGTGGAGAAAGCCGGGTAGCTTCCATCGGAAGTCCATCCGAGCTTCGAAAAGGACTGCCAAATGAGAACATGAAAAGGAGGATGAAAAGATCGAAAACCATCACCCCTCGCATACTCTCCATTGCACAAGCATAATTACATAGCCAACGATATAGAGTACATATTGTTTCTGTATAGAAAGATATCAAGGAAGCATGGGAAAGTAATGACTCACATCGCCGTCTTGCACCTTCACCCGATACGTAGCCCGAAGCTTTTGGAAGTCCTCTTCTGATTGCCAGTCTCTGGGCTTATGCTCCTCCTCATCAGAGTCGTCGATGGCGATGTTGAAGAGGTCGCCTTCTTCGTCAGCCATTTTTGTAGGTTGTAGGTGCAGATGTAGCCCGTGGAAGTAGATAAAAGTCCAGAGTAGGGAAAGATCCCAGAACTTGCTGAAATTCCCTTTCGAGGGTTCGGGGTACAGTCCCTTTAGCCTGCCGCTGCTCTATTCCTTAAGTCGACAACAAGAATGACCAATTTCGCCGGGGCGCTCAAAGTCTCGAGAAAACGAACGTCCAAAGAAGAAAATGAATCCCCACTCCGATTGCTCCGTCGTGGTGCAGGTTGGTCGGGAATCCAGTTAGGCGATCGATCACCAAGATATCCGTACAGATGCCGGCACGCTGGAAGGGACTGACTGACTAAGTCAAATTATGCAACTAAACAATACAATTTATGGTCGGGCTGCAAATCTTTTTACAAGCAAGTCCTGCCGAAACGGTTTCCCCAACATGACATCAAGCCGCATGGCGGGGTTAGTGGGGCCGCTTTTGCACCTAGCGGGCCGAGAAGCTTCGAAGCTTGAACCTCATCCGTCCAGTCTACCACCCCGCCTCTCCCGTCCCTTCATTCCAATCTTCCCGTCCCGTGAAGCCTTTAATTGACTTCAACGACCTTACCTAATTTGACTTATACATACACGAACGAACAGTAGAAGACTGCCTGGGATCAAATTAGTCGAAATGGAACAGCAAGTAGCCAGGCTCGTAGAAAAGGCATGGGACAAGTTTCAAAAGACGCCCGAGGAGAAACGCCTTTGTGAGTCTGCGCCCTTCACATCATGGCCCAGAGCTAGACACCTAACCTAAACATTGGAGCGTCCTGCTCTCAGTGAAATCCCTGCTCCCTGGCAGCTCTGTTATGTTTTCGTCACCCACCTCAACCAGCTTCAACCCAAGTATACAAGACAAGACTGACATCCCCAAGTGATAGGAATATCCGGCATCCCAGGCTCAGGTAAACACACCTCAAAGCCCTCTCTCTTACTCGCAACTCAACATTATCAACCCACACGGCACCTAACACCTCAAACCAGGCAAAACAACCCTCTCCCAAATAGTAACAACCCGCCTCAACGCCCGCGCCGCAACCCTCGACCCCTCAAACCCAACCCGCACATCCCACCCGCCCGCAGCCTTCGTCCCCATGGACGGCTACCACCTCACCCGCGCCCAGCTCTCCGCCATGCCCGACCCGAAAACCGCCCACGCCCGCCGCGGCGCCGCCTTCACGTTCGACGGTCCCGCCTTCCACAAGCTCGTCACGTCCCTCCGGGAACCCCTCAGGGCCGATTCCTCCCCGATATACGCCCCAAGCTTTGATCATGCCGTCAAAGATCCCAAGGAGAACGACATTGCTATCCAGCCGTATCACCGCATCGTTGTGTTCGAGGGAAACTACCTTACGCTCGACAAGCCGCCGTGGAGCGACGCTGCGAAGCTCATGGATGAGCTTTGGTTCGTAGACGTGGACTTTGAGGTGGCGAGGAAGCGGTTGATAGGGAGACATGTCAAGGCAGGCATTGCTAAGAACGAGGAGGAAGCTGATAAGAGGGCAAGAGAAAACGATCTGGTGAATGGGAAGGAGATTGTCGACTTCCGCCTAACGGTCGATGAGGTTGTTACCAGTCGAGAAGATGACGAATGGATTCACGAATGAGAAATATATGGCACTGTGTTTCAGTCATGGCTAGGGGGATCTTTATGACTCGCTGTCGACCCTCAATCGTGCCGGAACTATTATGAGGTCCTGTCCTGTCCCGTCCCGTCCCCGACCATGTAGCCGGCACTTCTGCTCAACCAATTGTGCTGGATATCGGTGGAGACTCGCATTCCAACTATCTATGCAACGTTGAGAACCATTCTCCCTCACATTGCCATCTCACTCGGCTGCAGCCCCCGTGAAGCTACCAGGAAACTTAGCTGCGCTGTAGCCTGTAGCGAACATAGAGCCTCCCAGTCCCCGGCGCGTACGAGGCTGATCGCCACCCTGCTGTGGAGGGACCTGGCCGTGGCCACAGGGCTGGAATGGTTCTGCGTTGGGCGAGAACGCTCCGCTATTTTGGTGAACTGGGCCATTCATACCAATGCCCGCCCCGGAATCCGGATAGCTGATGTGGTAAGTGACCGTCACAGCGTGAACGACGCCCGACGGGTACATTCCAGGAATCATTGCCTGCGGATGCATCTGAGGCTGCATCTGGGTCGCGTAGTGCACTTGGCCCGGCGCCATCTGCGGCGTAGGGATGCCAGCAGGCATGACAAAGCCTGTGGGGTTGAATGGAACTGCAGTGGCGGCCTCGGGACTCTGCACAGGAGTGGGCGCCGGCGCGGTGACATCTGGCTCAGCCTTGACGGGAGCTTCAAACTCAACAGCCGAGTCGTGCGAAGCGTCTGACATCGCATCTCCCTTATCCGATCCAGCAGTCTTGGAAGAAATCGGATGCTCTTTAGAAAGAACATTCTGAGAGGCATTCTGGACATGCGCATGCTCGCCCTCAGTACTGACACCCGCATCGACCGGATCGGTCGACTCCTTGGCGATGCCATTGGGTACATGCTCCTTTGCAGTGTCCTCCACATGAGCTTGGGTGCTGTCAATGGACTTCTTCGCAATGCTACAGTCGACTTGACCCTGAATCTCGATGTCGATATCGATCTTAGTCTTCGGTGCCTCAGTGTTTTCTGGCTTGACTGCACTGTTCTCCTTGTTCTCTGCCTTGCTGTCGGTGTTCTTCTCAAGGTCACCCTCAGTTGATTCCTTGCGTGGCATTTGAAGTCCGGGTAAGGACTGTGCAGTAGTAACGACTGCCTTATGGTGGTTGACAGCTTCAGATAAACCAGGCATAGAGACCTGTGAGACACCGCCGGTGCCTATCTGTGTCTGTAGAGTTCCCGAAATCCATTCCATAGCCTTTGCGGCCTCGTTGTTTGGCTGGGAAGCTCGCACTTTCTGGTTCTGTTGCAGGTGAGGTGGCAGCTTAGAGAACACACTTCGGCTGTCCTTTTCGAGGGGGATCTTGACGTCCTTGATTCCGGCAGGAACTTCAGCAGAAGAACGTCTCTCCAGCAACTGTTCCGGGCTGTACTGGACCCAAGGAGGGCGGTCTGCAGTGTACATGGGGGAGCCCTTGACATTGGTCAGCTTCAGATTGCTGAAAGCGTCCGTCAGGTCTTCCTCGCCATGATCCTTCTTCATGGGCACCACCTCGGTGGCCTGAACGGCGGCCTGGGTGGGGCGAGCGGCCTCGGGAGCAGCCGACTCGACGGGAGCGACGGCGCCCGTGTCCGCTTCATCTTGGGAAGCAGCCATCTCGCGGAGATATTTCATCACCTTCTGCAGCATGTCCGCACGCTGAACAAAGTCGGCAGCCGTCTCGGAGTCATCGAACTTGAGGCTGTATCGCATCGATGGACCCGACGCGGAAGCTCCGAAACTCATGATACACAGGTGATTCTTGTGGAAGTCCAGAGCGTAGTCGTTCATGCTATGGGCTTGGTCGAAGATGCCAGGGCATACAATGATGCAGACGACACGTCCATTAGGATGCTCGTCAGACTTGATGGTCTTCAATTTGAGAACAGCATCATGCTCTTTGCCTTGAGCCTGAGCCTTGCAATGGCTAGCCCAGTGGACCTCGGAGTTGTTCTTATCAGTCAGGTGAGGTTGCTTCGTAATTTCTTCAGACGTCTCCTTCTCCTTGCCTTTCACACTGGAAGCGGCGTTCGGAGTCGGCGTGGAGGCCGAGATGGCAGTGCCAGGGGTGGCAACTGGAAGATTCTGAGTGCTCTTGGCTCTCAGATGGGGCGGCAAGGGCATGTTGGTCGCTTCAGTAGATCCAGTCCTAGTAGTGATAGAGCCAATGGCAGCTGGTCTGGCCGTGGAAGGGGTAGTATGCGTGACCCTGCTTCCCTGGACATTTGCGCGGAGCTCACCAGCAGCTCTAGTCGAAGGGTATCGATGAACCTGGGAGCCAGGAGGCATGACAATGCCATTCTGACTGGTCTGCATGCCTTGAAAGTTCGCCACGCTATTATTGTTAGTTGAGTTTCTGCCAGAGGAGAGGAGTCACCTACTTGGGTCGACGTGTCTCGGGCAGGTGTCTGGCTGGACCAGCCGTAAGAGTTGGACGATAGACATTTGAGCCGCCTAGGTCAGGTAGCTGCATAGCAGCCATGGCTTCAGCATCGTCCATTCCTGTCTCTGCAAGGGCTATCATCTTCATTAGTCGAGATACTGTCCTGTGAAGTATGTGGAGAAAACATACCTCGGTAGCCGTTGAGAGCCTCAGTGTTCTCCACGTTGACAGGAGCGCGGCGGGCACGCGGCGGTACAACATGCCTTTTCGGGGTGTCGTCAAGAGGCAACTCATTGATGCGGTCCATACCGAGGTCGGCCTTCTCAATGTCAGTTACACACAGTATAAACGAGTTCCAGATGCAAAAGCAATCACTGACCATCATTGCACGCTGGACCAGTTCTTCATTGGTCAGTGACGAAGATGCGGCCTGGAGGCGATGACTGGGCATTTTGTCCGCCTTTCTGTCGGTGTCGGTTCCCCAGGATCCCATGTTTGCAGGCAAACTAAAAGTCAGTCCGAGGTTTTCGCTGATTTGATGTCGTGGTTTGGTTCTGGTGTCTAGATGTATATCTGTCAGAAAGGGTTGAGATCCCAAGATGGTCAGGGTAAGGAGAGAAGTAACAGTGGTGATGAAAACGAAAACAAATGACGAGTGGTAGATGAAAATATCAGTAGAGGTTTAGCTTCCTGGAGGCTTACCGCTGGAGGTTCTTGGACCTTTCCTGCTGGTTAAGGATTCGTAGATGCCGTCCCTGATGGGAATCGATGTAAAAAAGACGTAAGGCAGAAGCCTAGTGTGAAGTTTTACTCGAGTGGTACAGGAGAAAATAAGTGAGTGATAGTGATGGCAATATTTGCCCTGGTGGGATGTGTGTTGTGGTATGGAAACCTGGAAGAGAAGACATTCAGAGTGCGGGTGTTTTTGAGAAAGCAGAAGGAAAGAGAGAAGTGGATGGGTGGCAGCAGTACTTGGGGCAGGCTTTTCTGAGGCAAGAGGAAAGAAAAACAGTCCTTGCCTTAGATAAATAACCGTGCTGTCTGTCTAACTTGGAAAGAAGTCCTGCTCCGGGATGGAGTAAGTGAGCAGGCCGGTGGAAGGAGCCGGGGTAGAAGCGGAAAGCAGAGACAGGAAGGGCATATGACGATGCCACGAGGCAGGAACTGACTGAAGTCGGTACCTGCTACTTGTTTGTGAAATTAAAGCGCAGGCACAAATGACCATAGTGCAAGAGTAGCCATATATAAGGTATATAAACAAGATGTTTTGTAACTTACCTTATGAGAGACATTTTTTGTACCTGAGAGAGAGAGAGCTGCGTAATAGAAGGCTGTTCCCATAAGTGTACAGATTTCTTTCAAGGTTTGGGGCAATCGAAAACAATAACGATGTGCTGATGTGCACTTCCACGGGGGTGGATTCTATCACCATAGTGAAGGGCGTTCCTCACTCAAGGTTTCTGCCCTGGATGTTCCCATCATGCAAGAACAACCTTTCAACAAGTATGGCACTACAAGTGTTGGCAAAGAGAGGGACAGGTCACATAAGAAGGCACCGGAATTTGCCAGTTGCAATGTAGAAAAGAAAGAGCAGCATCTACGGCTAGACTACGAGCGTACTTTGCTCGAGTGTGCGATCTTATACCCATGCGTCATATATTTACGGAGGCGCTGTGGCCTAAAATTGAAGTTGCTGGTTCAATTTGGACGAAAACGACCTAAGGAGAATGTCATGCGATGCCCGGTATCTATTGTATAATTCCAGACTTTCTAAATCAGCGACGCATGCCATGGGATCACGCCAAGTCAGAGACGACCCAAGTGATATGGTGAGCTGCTAGGAATCATTCAAGATCTCATGCGTCACGGGCAGAAGATCACAATGTATGCATATTGCTCATGCTTTACTTGGGAGAATGCAGGAGCGAACCAAGCATACGAACTTGAGGTTTGAATCAATACCCTGTAGTTCAGCATCTTGAACCACCAATTTGGGAACTAGTCAGGCAGTGCCTTATGCACTAATTGTAAGGTCAGACTTTGATTCTCAGCATTTTGAGCCCAAGGCGATTTCTAGCCATCACGACACGAACATTGCGTTGTTGGTAAAGGCACATCATGCCCATGTCATTTACTCATATCTTGCAGTACTCTCTAGTCATACAGAAGCGTTTGCTCATCCATCCAGTAACAACCTTTGGTATATCCATCGCTTAACAAATTCCTAGAAAATGTGCTTATTTCGCAGCATCCTTGGGGACACCGCTCAGGCCCTCGGTAGCCTGACGACCGACGTTGCTAAGATCCTCGTTGGCCTTGGAGGCAGGGCCTCTCAGGCCGGAGGTGGCGCCGGTGCCAGTACCGACGGTAGTCTCGGCATCACCGCCGCTGCCGACGTTGACCTTTGTGGCGTCGGCGGATTGCCAGTCGGAGGCGACGGGGGGCTGCTCGGGGAGGGGGAGGTTGGACTGGACCTCGTTGATCTGGTCGGCCTTGGATTGGGTCATTTTTGCGGTAGTTGTTTAAGAAAAAGGTCGCTAGAGAGGATGTAAGTTAGCGTTGTGTGGCCTGTGGATGCTATTGGTTCGGGGCCATAGCGGCCTGGGCGCAGGGAATGTAGCTCACTGGAGTTGATTCGTCGGAGGGGATTTTTAGAGTTTGATCGAAGTTGCTGGTGCTGTGATTGTAATGGTTGGCTTTTCTTGTGATTGCTTGATGAATAGAAAAAGATAGACTCTTGCATCGAGCTTCAACAGAGGCTCTTATATGCAAAGCTGGAGGAGGACGAGCTCCAATCCGGCCAGGCTTGAGCTTTCGGAGCCTTTACGGACGCTGACGTCAATTACGTCAAGCAGGTGCAATTGCGGCTCTTTGCGCGGAATCAGTGGAGAACCATTGACGTTCATCGACGATTGTCGCGGGAAGTGGAGAACATCCAACAACACTTTTGGGCGTGGATGGCGGATGGGCGATCAGTGACACAAATTGGCCAGGAGCAAAAGCTCCAGACGCTTCGATGAGGCAGACGGGCTACATTGAATTGAGGGTCAAAGTGGTGCCTGGGCATGAACGAGGGCGTTTTCCTCAATCAGATGCAATTTTATCGAGGGGGTTGTTGGTATCAGCCGAGTGGGCTTTTTTGCGTAAGCTTCTGTCACCCGTCCCTGAACGCCTTACTCCCAGAGTCCCAGCAAAGCCAACCGTAGAGTCGGTCTGTTCCTTTTTCCCAAAGTGCAGATGCGGATGCCGTCATGGCCATGTCGACGTTTTGATCCAACCCTGTCATCTCCCAGCCCTGTGCCAACTGCTAATCCTTCCCTTCTGCCACTGCCACACGCGATCATTCTAGCCCATTCTCTTGTCTGTTTCAGCTGAAGTCGCCTTGTCGCCGGTGTCGGGGTTCAGGTAGTCGGAATCCTCCGCCGCCTCATATTCTTGGATCAGGTCTGACACAACCTCGCGGGCCTCGTCGAATTCATCCAGGTTCTCAGCAAAAGGCGCCGTCTTCTTGTAACCCTCCATGAAGGCATTACGCTTCCGCATACCGTCGTATTGTCTTAGAATTCTCTTGAACAGCTGGGAGCCTGTCAGCAAAGCAGGCGCATACCAGGATCAGGATCGTGAAACCTACAGTTGCGATACTTGTGTGGTTTGCCAGCATCAATCCACTGACACGGTGGGCCATTGGGATGTAGGGGCTCCGCTTTGTGAGGGCCACTTGAATGCTGGCCGGTCCCCATGGGATAAAGGTCGCCAGTCGTCGTTCCCGGATTCTCAGCAAACTCTTGTGGACGTCTGTCGGATCCACTTCGCCCTGAATGACGTTTAGAATAGAAATGTAGCAGCTCTTCTTTCCCGGTTGAGTAGAGACCATGCGGTTCTTGGGCTGCAGTAGTCTCCGCATGACGTCCAATACTGTCGTCTTGCGCACCGTCTTGGCCTGCTCAACCTGATCGCCTGTGAATGGTGTGTATGCCGTCATCAAGAAATGGCAGCGGGGCGTGGGAATCAACGAGGCAAGAATGCTGACCAGATCGTTGTGCATGTAACCTGGGTACCTGAGAGTTGTGGTACTTGCTGACATGACGGTCGATACCTGCGTTGCCCAAGTTAGTCTGTGAGCCTCGAACATGAGAGAATAATTCCTACCAGTTGATTTGTTTGAGCAAACGAGGGCTCCTGAACGTGTAATCTGTCGGCTGCGATGCGTGATAGAGCTCCGTTGTCCAGTACCACTACCGAGTCGGCGTTTTGCGTTAACCTTCTCATGGCGAGAACACTGTTGTAAGGGTGGACGACGACATCGCCTGCGTTTGTGGTATCAGGGAAGACGGAGTATGTTTGGATGATCTTTTTAGGGAACCGGTCGTTGAGCCGCTCGAGGAGGAATGAGCCCAGACCAGAGCCAGTACCTCCCGCGATGGAATGCAGCATCATGAAGCCCTGAGATGATCAGCGGGGATCGCACGAATAATACAAAGTTGCACGTACTTCTAGAGAGTCGCTACCATCAGCTTCGCGGTCGATCATCTCCATGATGTCTTCGTAGACCACTTCGCCAGTCTGATAACCGTCACCCCAGTTGTTCGCAGCACCAACTCCATTCTTGCCAACGTAAAAGTTCTCGGGGTTGTAGATGTTTTTGTAGGGGCCACTTTGAATGCCTTGTATGACCTGTAGTTCCTTTAGCAATAGTACAGTGTCTCGCTGGAAATTGTCGACGCACCCTTGGCTCTAGATCGACTAAGATAGCTCGCGGAATGTATCGTGTGTCGTCGCTCTGGTAGTAAAAGACGTCTTTGCGATCGCCACCTTCAGTAGCAAAGTCTTCGAGGTTTCCGTCCTGGTTGATGCCATGCTCCTGACAAAGCTGCTGCCAGAATTGGCTTCCAACTGTATGGCATTAGCTCCATTGCGCACGACTGATGTTCTGTTTGGTGGGGTAAACTGACTGCTGTTGCCGCATTGTCCGGCCTGGACCGTAATGATTTCCCTGTAAGACGAAGTCAAAACAAAGTATGGGCAAGCCAGGAGGGGCTCACGAAACCTACCTTGGCATCTTTGCAGTGTGATGGCGGCTTTGGCGATGTTGGGCTCCAAAATCAGTGACCTTCCGCAAGCTGTGATGTTGGACGCGACGGTGAGAGCTTATCGATAAGAAGATGCGCGAGACGCGCTTTGAGTGCGTTACGTAAGGCAGGGTGCGAAGAGTGAGGTGGTGCTGCACCGAGGTTGCTCGCAAACGGTAAGCAGGTAGTACTATACTACCTACCCTGAGGCGCCAGGATTCTTCCTTTACCACATGTGCCACACATCAAAATTTCAAGCCACATCTTGAGAGATGGGAGACTCAAATGATGGATCTTCAATTCTCCATTCTTTCATTCACAGTGAAACAGCCCACGCGGACTGCCTAGTCAGGGTCAACACGCTCGTTCTTTGTCCCTTGGCCTTATTCCTCCACAATGGGTCTCGGCGGCCTCTCTCTATCCGAAGCGAACAGCGGACTTTTCCTCGGATCCCACGCCCGCACCAAGGGTTGAAGTACCAGGGTGCGGATGACATTTGTTCATGAGGATACCTTTCCATCTCAAGATACGCGGCCCTCTGGCTACTCCGTACATTTGCCAGCCACGCCAGCCTCTTCTCCTTACGTTTGGCAGATAATAATCAAGCACCGCTGTCCCGACATACCTTGGATGGCCCACGTCTCAGATCTATCCGAACCCCTATTGAACGCCCCCACGGCCCGGACGTGCCATATGCGCGCAACAGGCGTATAATAAAAGCCATCGATCCATAATTGCGGGATTTGCGTCGTCTGTAATTGTGGTCATTTCAACGTCGCACAGTCGATGAAAGTTTGGCTTAGGACGTAATCTGGGCAGAAACGGGCCCCTGTAGGGCTCATGTACACTACTTACATCCAATGTAGGAGCTCAGTCCATTCCCGTCCTTTTCTGCGCCTTAGCTCCCTCCCAAGCATCTCATGATCTCATCACTGGATTGTTCAAAGCGGGAGACAACCACATACTTCGTGCAAGTCACATGGAACCGAAACGGCAGAGACGGGCAGAAAATCAGTCCCTATTCCTTGATAAGGTAGTTGTTCAACCGCGGATTCGGTGTCAAATGTCAGTGGAAGCTCCATCTGCTGCACCGCGCCCGAATAGCGCAAGGAGCCACTGAAGATTTGGGCGTGACATCGGACTAAGGTGGCACGCCCCAGAGGGAGCCGCTAGGTGTCCCCCCCTGTTCACCCCCCCTTATTCGCGCCCCTATTGGCGCCCATTGGCTCGGAGCCAAAGAAGCAATTAAGCCTCGCCCTCCACCAACGTTGCAACTTGCTGGGGATTTGCAGGCCGTCACAGGGATCACTGGTCCTGGTCCCTCCCATACCTTACCTTTCACTGCACTCCATCGCCCTCCCTGTCTCCCCCCAAAACTGCGACAGCCCAAGGTTCCTGGTCTCGAGGATCTGAGGTTGTCTGCAGTCTGCCCGCCTATCCGTACGGGAGATACCTGACTTTAGCAGGTCCAAAGATTCAAGGTGCTCGACTGCAACAAAACCGATCTTCCATCAACCCTGCAGGGCTTGCAGAAGCACACCCCCAGCCCAACCTTTTTCTGGGTACTGCTACATTTCATTCTTTGGAAGGTGTTGTTTCTTACCAAACCCATCAGCCGGATTTTGGAGCAGCTGCCGGTGATCGACCACGAGCGCCGTTGTTGTCTCGCTTTAGCTTCTCGCCTTCGAACCTTTCACCGACGGGTGTGTCTGACTGTCTCGACCGCAATTACAAGACGTCCGCCCCCGACCACCCCTCGACTTGATCTTCCAAACGCATCCCGACCCCTTGTTGGGCTGCTGTCTCTCATTTACACTTCGCCGAGAAAGCCATGTTTGAGGTGTTTACACCGATCCACGGCCTACACACCTCAATTTCGCGAGCCGATTTCCTAGAAACCTCGACTAATCCTCAACTCGTTTCCTACCTCTACACCCTCCCGAATTTCCCGTCACAATGACGGACTCGAGACGAGATGATTCGGTCTCACCAATGACAAGAAGCCCTCGCGCGGCATCACCAGCCATCACGAGCCAGCCAGAGTCGCTTGCTCCTCCAGCTCCTCCGCCGAAAGATAACCCTCCGGCTCTTCCCCCAAAGGATCTCCCGACGCCAAAAGACACGCATACCCCGATCGATTCCACGGTGGAAGCACGAGATTACATCAATGGGGGAGCACCTCATGACAGCGTGTCACCCGTTAACGACGGAAGGCGGCCGCAGCTCCCAACCCTCAACTCCACCGATAGCGTACGTCAGACCCCTGGCGGTCTGCCCGTGATGCCCGAAGACGATACATACTCCCCTGAGCCAGCTTCACCGACCGATCGCAGAAGCGTACAATTTGCCAGAACGGACCAGGTCCTGGAAGCCCCCGCAAGCCATTCGCGGCAGCCATCATGGGACGACGGTGGAAAGTCCATCGGCTCTGCCTTCATTTCTAAACTGAAGCAGCTCACCGGCTCTGGCAGCACGCAGACCCTCAAGACGAGCAGCTCCGGTAACCTGAACGAGAACGGCACGCCGCCGTCCATGGGTAGCTCGCCCACCACCGGCCAGTTCAGATCAAGAATACCTCATACACTAGACGAGGATGGTGGCAGCGATGCTGATGCGGATGTTGAGGAGACGGCTGATGAGGGAGCCACATCGGATGCTGTCAAGCCCAAGAAGAAAAGGAGAATGCGCCGCTCAAAAAAGCAACACATGTCTGTCCCGAGTACCCCCAACCTGCGGCATCTACCCGGCCCAGACTCGCCCGTCGGTTACGGCCGGATGGGTCTGCGAAGGCGCTTGAGTATGCCAGACCACCCCGAGCAGCAGCACGGCATGTCGGAAGGTGAAGGACGAGACCAGCTTGCAGGCCCCTCATGGATAAGGTCTCGCAAGAATACCGGAGACGGCACTGAGAGCCCTGGAGGAAGAAGAATGGGGCACGTCCGTCGCATAACTGTCCTTGGTGGAGGCGGGGTATCGGAGGGAGACGCGATCACGCCCAAGAGACCTTTTTTCGGCAGCGAACGAGCATCGACTTGGAAATACGTCAAGAACACCTTGAAGCTCCTTAGGCAGAAGAAAGAGGATCGTTTCGATTTCGCAAAGTCGGCAGAACTCATGGCAGAGCTGCGAGCCGGAGCGCCCGCCGTTCTCATGTTGGCCAGCATGATCCAAAGGGATGAGCATGGCAATAAGCGAATCCCTGTCCTTCTCGAACAAGTGCGCTTGCGTATTACTGATAGTCAACCCGAGTCCGACGACGACAGTGAGCGGCATTGGGTCTTCACAATGGACCTCGAGTACGGCAGCGGCCCAAGTCGAATGAAATGGGTCATTATCAGGACTCTGAAAGACATCTACAATCTCCACGTACGATACAAGCTTGCGATGAGCAACGATAAGTACTTGCATGGGCGCGCCGATGTAGGAGCCCGACCCAAAATGCCCAAGTTCCCCTGGGGCGCCTTCCCCTATCTTCGCAGTGCCCGTAATAAGGATGACAGCGAGGACGAAGATGACGCAAGCATTCGGGGCGATGATCTAGGAGAGGTCACCGCTGGCGAAGGGACTGCTGCTGAGGGTACCGCAGGAGAAGGTACAGCAAGCGAGTGGGAAGGCGGTCGAGCTGGCCCTGGAGTTAGGAAGAAGTCACGCCTCGGCATGCTCGGTATGCGTAGGAAGTCGACCGGATTTACTGAGCCCGGGGACTCGGGTGGCGAGAACCAAATCGATCAGGTTCAGGCTCGGAAACGGTATTTTGAGCGTCAAAGAAGGGTCCTTGAAAAGTATCTCCAGGACATGATTCGGTGGTTAATGTTCCGTGCGGACAGTAACCGTCTTTGCAAGTTCTTGGAGTTGTCTGCTCTGGGAGTGCGCCTAGCTGCTGAAGGCAGCTATCATGGCAAAGAGTGCTACTTGCACATCCAATCCTCCAAAGGCATGGATTTCCGTCGAGTCTTGACACCAAAGAAGGTCATTGCTCGCCATAGTCGCAAGTGGTTCCTTGTGCGCTCTAGCTACATCGTCTGTGTCGAATCACCAGAGAAGATGAGCGTCTACGACGTCTACCTCGTGGACTCCAAGTTTCGCATTGTTTCCAAGAAAAGCACATTGAAACAGTTGTCCAAGGGAAAGGCCAAGGCCGAGGAAAAGGAGATCGACCTGGCGGAAGAGGGCGATGCTGAGAAGCATCACACACTGACACTGCATACAGCTGAGCGAAAGGTCAAATTGTTTTCAAGAAACCAACACATCATGAAGCAGTTCGAAGACTCAATAGCAGAGATGCTCAAGCAGACTAAGTGGTATGACACCAACCGCTTCGACAGCTTCTCTCCAGTCCGAAATGGCGTATTTGCGCAGTGGCTTGTAGACGGCAGAGATTACATGTGGAACGTATCTCGTGCGATCAGCATGGCCCGAGACGTGATTTACATTCATGATTGGTGGCTCAGTCCCGAGCTTTATATGCGTCGACCAGCCGCTATCAGCCAGAAGTGGCGTTTGGATCGACTCCTGCAGCGAAAGGCCCGAGAGGGTGTCAAAATCTTCATCATTGTGTATCGCAATGTCGAAGCTGCTATTCCGATCGACTCTGAGTACACCAAGTATTCACTCTTGAACCTCCACCCGAACATCTTCGTCCAGCGGTCTCCCAATCAATTCAAGAAGAACCAGTTCTTCTTCGCCCACCATGAAAAGCTGTGTATCGTCGATCACGATGTCGCATTTGTCGGTGGCATCGACTTGTGTTTTGGCCGTTGGGATTGCCCGCAGCATCCGATTACAGACGACAAACCGACGGGTTTCGAGCACAGCGAGCAGCCAAAGGATGCTGAACATTGCCAACTCTTCCCCGGAAAGGACTACTCGAACCCCCGTGTCCAAGATTTCTTCAAACTCGACGAGCCGTACGAGGAGATGTACGACCGAAGCAAGGTTCCCCGAATGCCATGGCACGACATTGCTATGCAGGTCGTTGGTCAGCCAGCCCGAGATTTGACGAGACACTTCGTCCAAAGGTGGAACTATGTCAAGAGAGGCAGGAAGACGACCCGTCCTTTGCCGTTCTTGCTACCGCCTCCTGATGTAAAAATGCACGAGCTCGATGCCCTTGGGCTGACGGGTACTTGCGAAGTTCAGATCTTGAGGTCATCCGCCAACTGGTCTCTGGGCATTGAGCATGTCGAGTGCAGTATCCAGAACGCCTACGTCAAGATGATTGAGGATTCCGACCATTTCGTTTACATCGAGAACCAGTTCTTCATCACGAGCACCGAGGCGTTCAATACAAAGATTGTCAATCGCATCGGTGATGCGCTTGTCGAGCGCATCATCAGAGCTCACGAGAACGATGAGGACTGGAAGGCATGCATTGTCATTCCTCTCATGCCTGGTTTCCAAAACACTGTCGATGAACAGGAAGGCACCAGTGTTCGTCTCATTCTGCAATGCCAATACCGCAGTATCTGCCGCGGTGAAGGCTCGATCTTCGAACGTCTTCGTGCTGCCAACATCGAACCGGAAGAGTACATTCAGTTCTACAGTCTGCGACAGTGGGGCAAAATTGGCCCCAGAAATGCTTTGGTCACTGAGCAGCTTTACATTCATGCCAAATGTATCGTGGTAGATGACCGTGTTGCGCTCATTGGTTCCGCCAACATCAACGAGCGGTCCATGCTTGGAAGTCGTGACTCTGAGCTTGCTGCTGTTGTTCGTGACACCGACATGATTTGGTCAACAATGGCAGGCAGACCTTACCAAGTCGGCCGGTTTGCGCATACCTTGCGACTTCGCCTGATGCGAGAACATCTTGGCCTGGATGTAGACGAGATCCTGGAGGAAGAAAGGCAGGCCGAAATGGACCGCCAAGCCGAGTACGAGGCAGAGATGGATCAGATTTACGACGAGGAAGCAGAGTCACCTCCTGTCGCAGGGCCGAGTGCACCGCAGTCAGCCAGCAAACCGACCAAGCCAGCAATGCCAGGACAGGCTGCAAGCTTTAACCATGATGCCGCAGAGGCGGAAGCGGCAGCCGAGGAAGCGTCCTCAGTGTCCTCTTCAGAGAAGGGCAAGGACCGCGACGATCGCGTAACCGGCAACGAGGCACACGACCTAGAAGTCGCCGGTTTTGGCAAAGACCACTGGAAGGAAGCCGCTCAGCTTGGCCTTGACAGAGGACGAGACTCTGTCATCATCAATGGCCGCGAGGTCCTTGTCAACAATGTGAACTCTGAAGGAAAAGGCACTTTGCAATCGCCGATGCAGCCTCACGAGCGCAAGCTGTCGGCTGATCACCACACGGAAGAGGAGGGCGGAGTCAGCAACGATGCCCTGCCGCCGATCCCAGCTCTCAACAGACGGACCACAGACCAACTCGGCCTCCCTCGCACAGCTGGGCTTCCCACACTACCTGCTGTAGACGATACTGATATTGGCGGACCCCCTGTTCACTTGGACCAGAGCGGCCAGCCGACCAACGGCCCACTGCATCCTCTGGCTGCGGATATCAGGCAAGCGCACATTGATAAGGATTGCATGCGTGACCCCGTCAACTCAACGTTCTTTGACGACATCTGGAACAGAGTCGCTGAGAATAACACGAAACTGTACCGCCGCGTTTTTAGATGCATGCCCGATTCAGAAGTGCTTACCTGGCCCGATTATCGAGAGGCTGTGTCTTACACGGAGAGGTTCAGACAGAGCATGGAGGGCCAAACCAAGACCGATGACGGAGATCCCAACTTGAACCGTCACCAGACACCTGTCAGCGGAGGTAGTGCCGGTATGGGCGCGCCAGGCCCCGGGGCTATTGCGAGCGCTGTAGCGGATAAGACGGAAGAGAAGCTGCACCTCAAGACCAACCACTCGAACCATCCTAGAATTGTCATCCCGGCAGGTGATGACCACGACCTCAACGAGAAGAGCGAGCACCCAAGTTCCCGAGGCGGGCTCAACCTCAACATAGACGTGTCGGCATCATCAAAGCGTCCACAAGATGACCCATCGCCCATTCTTCCTGCTGGAGACGTTCCCTTCCCGGCCTTTGAACCAGGCCCTGCCGCCGACGCCAGCATGTTGGAACCAGCACGAGAGAAGAGTAGGGAAAGAAGAACAACCTTTTCCCCTCTAGAGAAGCCGCCTTCGAGAGATGTGAGCATTCCAGCTCAACAAGCCCAAGGGTCGGTTAGACGCCGCCGACGGGCCACTACTAAGGGCAGCCGGCGCGGTATGCCGCCTGAAGAGGTGCTTGGGCGGGCCGAAGCAGAGGAACTGCTCAGCATGATTCAGGGGCATGTCGTCAACTTCCCATATGATTGGCTCCTGACTGAAGAACAAAACGGCAACTGGGGATTCCAGGTAGATGGTGTCGCGCCGCTTCAAATCTAGTAAGTCTCCGTCTATCATTCCCGTGCGTAGCCGGTCCAGTGCTAACATCCATTGCAGCAACTAGGTGTTATACACAGTTCAGAACGGTCTCATGGACCTGCTGGACAAAGCCTCTCTATATGGCTGAACCATTACACGATACTTCGATGCACAGGACGGAGTCAGGGAGGAGCATCTTGGCGTCGCGGGTACTTTCACTGTATTGATTCTATTCGTATGGCTTCGGCCCCTGTTTTTACATGTATTGTACACATTGTTAAATTACAGCCTTTATTACACCTTCTCACTTACCCAGATGGCGCCTTTGCAACCCGCCCGGATCACACCGGTGAGCAACCAGTGCGGCTCCGCCTTCTTGGCGTCATGCTCGACAGCGTGGTCCAGGTGCTCCAATTCTTCATCGCGAATCCGCCGCAGTGTCTTGATGAGATCGGTGAACTCCGGACCGACGTCGTAGCCTTCAGCTTCCCACTCTGTGACCATCTCGATTAGGGTTCTGATTTGGTTGTTGTAGTGATCGCCAATTTCCGTCTCGACGGCCTCTGTACATGCCATGGCCGCTTCGCGACCCATTACTGCGGTACTCCAGCCCAGCCCAGTTGACATTAGCTGCCACAGAGGATACAGGGCAGTCGGTCGCACGCGATGCTTGTGGATGAGGGCGTTGAATGTATTGAGGTGGCCCTCTTCTTGGTCGTACATATGTGCCATGAGAGGTCGAAGGTGCGGGTGTCGATTGACGATCGGTGGGGTTTGAGCTGTGTAGATTCGGGTGGCAGCCAGTTCTCCGGCTTGATTGACTCGAAGCTGGACAAAGTCAGTATAGTTTCCCCAACTGCATACAATTGCACAACTTACTGCTGAAGACAAGAAATCCCGCTGCTCTTGGGTCAGGGGCTTTCGTCGGGGCGCCGCTGCTGCACCTTTTGCTTCGGCCTGAGCATTGGATGTGCCGGATAGCTGTCTGCGCGAGATGCAAACACCCGGCGCATACGCGTTTTGCGCTCCAATTCTTGCGATGCCACAGCAGGGCCTCAGAAATGAACTTACTGAAGCCATTGTGAGATTTTCCTGTGGATAGACAAGACCCCTAGGGTATTCGGAGCACAAACTCGGCCGAAGACAAATAGAAGATGTCAATGACATCGAACGACTAGACCCTGTGGATGCTGAAGCCTTTGTGAGCGTTGATTGGCTAGCCGTAGGGCAGGTCGGATGGGCATGGGCCGACGCTCCGACTGCTCCACCCCTGTGCAGACGAATGACATAATCTGAGCCAATCAGGCACGCGTTCGCAACGACAATGGCCCAAGGCTGTGAATAGGAGCCAGACTTTCGAGTTCTTATTCTAACAACCTTACCACACAACCGCCAGCGACCATCTCCTGACCATTCACCTCTCTACACCCAATCGACAAAGGAATTTCATCTTTCTGCGACTCAAAGTAATCGTATTTGTTTTCTTTGCATCAATAGCCAATTGCGTAAACCGATCGATCGGTCTTGAATCATTTGATTCACCCCGACGCAGCTGCTTGAAAGAGCTTCCAGCCCCTTAGTCGAATACCCGATTGTAACTCACCATGGCCGACATTGATGATGAGCTTTTGGCTCTTGCCGGAGGCGGAGAGTCCTCTGACGAGGAAGAGGAGGAGGTGATGTCCGAGGTGGAGAGTAGGGCGCAATCCGCGTCACCACCGCCCAAGGCAGCTGCGAAAAAGGCCGCTGCGAAAAAGGTGAAGAAGCGCGCTGGAGGAGGCGACTCAGAAGAAGAAGGAGAGGCGTAAGTTTCTTTCGTTTTGTAGTACACCCAGGCGCATTCCTACCTCTACACCGGAGGAAGTCCACCAACCTTGAGCTTCACCTTCGACATCTTGAATTTCAATCTACCAGCTCATCATCGCGCGCGCAACATTGGCTTTCCACTGCCTTGCCTGCCAATTACATCACTGACAATGCGCCTCAGCTCTTCAGCACCCGGTAGCCCCAACTCGATAGGATCCGCCGCCATGGACGAATCCGACTCCGAGGCCGAGCCGCATAGGGCGGGCCAAGACGATGATGAGGAGGATAAGTACCCGATCGACGGCATGTTCAAAAGCCGCGCCGAAAAGGAGATGGTAATGGCCATGCGCGAAGTCGAGAGAGAATCACTACTCGCAGAGCGACAGGCCGAAATTGAGCGCCACAGACAGAATCGCATGCTGCGACAGCTTGTCAGCAAGCAGGAGAACGAGGAGAAGAAGCAGAAGCTCAAGAAGCGCAGCGCCGACGCTGCCGACCTCGACGACGAATCGCGCACGACAGCGCGGCCGCGCACCGACGGCAAGACGTCAGCGATAGATGAGCTACGTCGCGCGCGTGCGGAAAAGGTCGACCGCATACGTCGTCGCGAGGAGGAGCGCAAGGGGCTTAGGTCGCCGCGCGACGACTACCAGGACGACAGCGATGAGGGAGGTGATTACGAGGAGAACCAACGCCGTCGGCACCGCAAGTCACGATCGCCGGAGGACGAGATTGTCGCCCGCGAGTTGCCGCCTCCAGACATTCGGGATTTCGAGCGCATTCGCGTCGGAAAGAGTCGTTTCGCGGAGCACTGCTTCCACCCAAGCTTCGAGACGACCATGATAGGATGCTACGTCCGCATCAGTATCGGTCCCGATCCCAAGACGGGCCAGGACGAGTATCGCATGGCGCGCATTCAATGTCAGTCCGCCCGCCGAGGTGTTGTTGCTGACAAGATGCTGACGTTTTACAGCCATCACGGTTGGCAAGCCATACGCCATGACAGGCCCTAGTGGTGCTTTTGTGACCGATCAGTATGTTCTGGCAGCTCATGGTAAGGCGGAACGGCCGTTCCCATTCATTTTCCTGTCAGATCGGCCATTCACCGAGGTGAGTTTCCTCTTCAGACGCTCTATACTGGAGGGCGTCCAACTGACTGGAACAGCGCGAATACAATCGATACGAAAAGGTCATTCAGTCCGAGGGCCTGACTTGGCCCAAGAAGAAGACCCTCATGGATAAGATTGACGACATCAACGCGCTCATCGCGTACCATCTCTCCACCACCGAGATTGACGAGCGCATCCAGCGCAAGGCCGCGCTCCGCAAGAAGTTCGATCCCAAGTTGCGCGAGCGCCTCGCTCAAGATATCGAGGTCGCCCGCGCCCAAGGGAACACCAGAAAAGCAGAGGACCTGCAGGAGCAGCTCGACGACCTCAAAACGAACGTATTGGCCTTCAAGACGAGCCTTAGCGAGACCTCATCTAAGCCCAGTGCAACATCCCAGCAGGACCGGTTAGCTAACATCAACCGCCAACGCCGGCTGGAGAACGCCGAGAACGTTAGGAGAGCACAGCTCAAGGAGAAGGCCGAGGCGCGTAAGCTAGAGGCGGCGCTGGAGAGGGGCGAGGACATCAAGAACGATTTGTCGCGGCGGTTGCGGACCAAGGCCAAGTTCATCCACGACGCCAACGATACGGGCAGCAAGAAGGCAAAAGACAGCAATGCAAGCACACCCGCCAACGGCACGCCCAAGATGGGCGCTCAGGAGAAGAACTTCTTGCCTAACTTGGTCAAGCTGCAGGCTGCGAACCAGGAGAAGAAGGGCATCCCGACAATTCACAAGCCGCTCATGGATGATGACATTATCGGATCCCTGGATCTCGATATTGACATTGACATTGACTAAAGAAGTCTTGTTTCGCGGCGGAAATCATTTGCATGGTTGCGAGGGAGGGACTTGGCCTGGCTGGAGACTGGTAGGTTGCTATAAAAGTTGCTTTAAAGGGGCATAAGGGGGTTTACGGGTACAGAGGCCCGACATCATATGGCACCTTTCCAGCGCAGTAGTTGTAGAGTAGAAAAAAAGCGTTTTGGCAGGGCTCTCTGCGTGAGCGAAGCAATCGACGCGATAGAGCAGACAAGAATGAAACAGGCTGCGCAAGCACTCGTCGAATTCATGGATCATCAGCCGTAATTTCACCTGCCTTCCCTCAGTAGTTTCTTCCAATGACCGCATCCTAGGCATGAGGCCCATTGATTCCTGTCTATCTACCTCAGTGAACCTGGAAGAGAACGGGTTACGCGGGACGCTACTGCAGACTCGCCCACCGCGGGGTCGGACTTAAGGTCTTGCCCCGCGGCGGTGGTCTGGTGGTGAGTGAGCTGCGGGGCAATGGATGCGCCAGCCCACAGTACCAGGTAGCGGAAGCGATCCGTCCCAAATTCCCACCTGCACCCTGCCCGCGTTAAGCTTCAAGGCAAAGTACGGCCCCCGTCGGCGCGCATTGGGCTTCTGCACGTGGTGGGACGTCGAACTGGCACGACCGCATTGGAATTGCTCCGAGGCACCCCGCTGGCCAGCTACGTATGGTGAGGCGAGGCAGCTAGCTGTACGTCTTGTCTCATAATCGTTCCTACCTTGGACATCCAATCCTCATGTTCATCGTCGTCAACATTCCGTCTCGTCCTTTGAATCAGCCCACGACTGCGCACGGCTTTTACGGGGTTAACCTAAGTCTTCGAGACCTCTGAAAGCTCCCGAGTCCGTATGCGCTAGAGTATGCGACGACTACATTACGTCCATTAGTTGATTAGTCTACAACTCTTCTCCCCTCTCTACCACTGAGGAAGGATTTCATCGTTTCGTCGTTGGATTCACGTAGACTCATAATCCTTTGCTTCTCTCCCTCCTCCGGCGCCTGCCTTTCTGCATTACACCACTCGGTCACTTGCGCTCATAGACCACCATCTCATTAGACAAGAGTGCTTTACACTAAGCTGGGCTGTCCGTTGATAGACCCAGCCTCCCACATACCATTAGAATTCTAGATGCGACATAGAGGACATCCAGCAGCAGCGGCAATGACTCCCGAAACGAAACCCCTCCTGGGGGATGAGTCCTCCAGCCCGTCAGGTACAACCCTCTCTCTTTCTCCCCCCCCCCCCCCCCCCCCCCCCCCCCCCCCCCCCCCCCCCACCCCAACCCCACCCACCCCCCCCCCCCACCCCACCCCCCCCCCCCCACCCCCCCCACCCCCCCCCCCCCCCCACCCCACCCCCCCCCCCCCCCCCCCCCCCCCCCCCCCGGGAATTGCACGTTTTTGCTCTAGGTGCCAATATGTAGCTAATAAGAGTCTCAACACCGCAGCACACTTTACATCCGCCCTCCCACTCACCACAGCCACCATCACAACCCGAGGCAGCGGCGGCGGCGGTGGCGGCGCACATCATCTCCCCCAAGCAATAGCCCACCGCGGCTTCAAAGCCCAGTACCCCGAAAACACCCTCCTCGCCTTCCGCGCCGCGCTCGACGAAGCCGGGGCGCACGCCCTCGAGACGGACCTGCACCTCTCGCGCGACGGCGTCGTCGTGCTCTCCCACGACGGGAACCTGAAGCGGTGTTTCGGGATCGAGGACAAGAAGATCAACGAGTGCGATTGGAGTTATCTCAAGACGCTCGAGACGGTTAGAGAGCCGAGGCAGAGGATGCCGAGGCTGGAGGATCTGTTGGGGTTGTTGGCGGAGGAGGGGAGGGAGGGGGTTTGGGTTTTGCTCGATATCAAGGTAAGGGATCACGTTCTTGGGTGCTTTTGGGGTGATGGGTTTGTGCTTTGGGTGTTTGGTGTGGGAGGTGAAGAGAGGGGGAGTTGAAGAGGAGGATGTGTGAGAAGAGGGCGCGGCGCTGGGAAGAAGAAGAAAATGATGATGATGAAGATGCTGACGTGAATCGAATGCGCATAGACCGACGATCCCCCAGCAGAACTCCTCGGCCGCGTAGCCGACGTCCTGGCCTCCACGCCGGGTCCCGTGCCGTGGAACGAGAGGATAGTATTCGGATGCTGGAACGTAAGTTACCATCTCACCAGTCTCACCACACTTTCCGCAAAAGACCAAAACCCCAAAGAGCACGACGGTACTAACACTTAACCCAAAGCAACCCTACATCACCCACGTCCGCACAATCTTACCCGCCTACCCAATCTCCCTCATCTCCTGGTCCCCGCTCTACGCCCGCAACTTCCTCACGCCGAAACAGCCGAATCTCTCCTTCAACATGTTCCAAAAGTCCCTCGTCGGGCCCGTCGGCAAACTGTTCATCAGAGACGTGAAGAAGAACCGTCGGCAGCTGTTCGTCTGGACGGTCAATGACGAGGAGTGGATGGAGTGGAGTATCCGCGCCGGAGCGGACGGGGTGATTACGGATGATCCAGAGTTGTTCCGGGAGGTGTGTAAGCGGTGGGAGGGGAAAGGGGAGGGGGCATCTACGTCTACATCCACGTCGACTTCGGTTCCATCGGGAGAGCGAGAGGTAGACGCAGACGAAAAGGCGAGGGCGGCTAGGCGGACGGGCCGGGTGCGCGACGGGACGTGGAAGAGGACGGCGAGGTTGTACCTCGAGGTCGCGGGGATACAGGTCCTCGTGGCGGTGTTCACGCCCATTCTGATGCTCGTTGCGCGGTTTGGGGTTGTGGGGCCCGGGCCCAAGGCCGCCAAGGCGTTGAAGCTGTGAGGATGGAGGGGGCTCTTGCAACGATGTGTTGGCGCTGGCTGGTTTGAGAAGGTCTCTAGTATGATCAATCTTGCGGGGATAGACGACGCCTGTGAAAGAGGAGAGAAAATGAGCTAGGGGAAAGTACACTGACAGAGGGCGAGTGGAGGGAAAGGGGGGCAGAGAGTAGAGCCCAGTCGGATGATGACTGTGATGAACATTTAGAGGACAGTAATTTACCTACATAGGAAGAGGCAGAAGGAGCTGAAATATGGCGCTAATTGCGCGATGTAGATGGAGGCTAGGTGACTAGAAATACAGAAGAGTATAAAGTTCGAATCCCGAAATACACATCCTCCTCGATCTGTGGCTTTCATCCAAACTTTCCTTCCCATGCTATACTTCTGTACAAGAACAGGCTACAGTACCCAGACATTGTGCTGTTTTGGAAGATGGTACCAAAGGTAACAAATTGTTGGACCTCCTTAGACCAGGACAGATAGTGCGCGTGAGAGCATTGAAGCAGACAGGATTTGTGCGAAGCCCGCATATATCCTTGAGCCGAGAGAAGTTATGCGTGACGCCTCGTTGTGTCTTGTCAGAAGATTCGGGTGGGGTCGAGAGAGGGTTCCTTTAAGAATAACAAGAGATAATCAATATTCGTGTCCAAGAGCTTGCTAGGTTTCCCATTTCCATCTGGCCGTTCAGATATATAAACCCCTGAAAATTCTCACATACAAAAAGCCAAAGCTGTCGCTATTTAAACCATCCAAATCACGCCGTCGACATACGACCCTCTCGCTCAAAGTCCGTAATTCCCATCAAGCCCATCCAAAAATAACCCATCATTGTTCCCGTTCCCGCTGCAAGATGCGAGCAACGCGTTCCGGTACTCCAAACTGCTGACGCTCAAATTCAAATCACTCGTCGCCAGGTCCTCGCCCGAGGACAAGCTCTCCTCGCTAACACTCAACACACTCTGCGGCGGTGCTGGGTTCGTTCCAAAGTCACCGATATTGAAGTTGGCTAGGTCCCAGCTATCGGGGCTCCAGCTGTCCAACCCTGTCGATGACGACGCGGGCGTCTCTCCCATGTTGGGGATGGCGCCGCCACCGCCGCCGTAGATTGCGTCGTAGACGTTGTTCAGACCGCCGTCCATGGAGCCGAGAAGGGCCTCCCATTCAGAGGAAGATACCCCGGACACCTTTTGTGGTTGCTGTGGCTGATGTTGTTGTTGCTGCTGCTGTTGTGCGTAAAGACTCTGGTGCGCTGCGGCGAGGATGTGCTGGTGTAGACGGGCTGTAGTTGGCGATGGAGGCGATGAACCGTTTGGTGTGCTATTCAGAGACAGATAGTCGAGGTTCTGCTTGGAGGACGTGCGGATGCGGCTGGCGATTTGTGACATAGAAAGACGCTGGTCTCGCCGTGCGGGGACGTCTTGCTGCTGCTGTTGTAAATTGTCAAACGACGGCTTCGAACGGGACCGGTAGAGTTCTGGGCGGTTCTGGATGCTCGGCATGGTCATCCGGCGCATCTTCTCCTGCTGCTGGATCAAGTCACTCTCGCTAGCAGCGGCGCTCGGAAGACGACCCAAAGTCCGTTGAGGCGACTTCTTCTTCACCGCTGGCGCAGGCGGCGAAGCCCTTTGCGGTGCGGGCATGGACGCGGATGCTTCCGGAGGCTCTTGTGGCGGAGTGGGCAGGTTTTGCTCATCAAGTCGAATGAGGAGGCCTGCCACACGCTTGAGATCGAAGGATCCGGGTGCCTTGGCCTTTGTGAGAATGTGGAGGACGCTGTTGACGAGACGCTCGACGTCCTTTAGCATCTTGCTTTCGGGCTTGAGCTCGAAGCTCTGGTACATGAGGGTCATGCCGCAGAGAACGAGGGTATCCGTCTTGTTGAGGCAGAAGGAGAAGGTCATGCTGCGCTCCTCGAGCAGCTGGACGATTTGAACAACGTGCTTGCTGGACTCGCCAATGGAGATCAAAGCAGGGGCGGCCTTGCGACCGAGCGAGGAGCCAACGGCAGGGCGGTAGATGAGGATCTTGGTGTAGTAGTAGGCGAGAGCAAGCAATGGCGACCGGCTTCCGGTGACATCGGTCGAAGGCTTATCTTGCTTAAAGGTAAGCTTGAGATGCGTCGGGAGTGACTCGTTCCATTCGTCGAGCTCAGCCTCCATGGCAGACATTGACTGCAGCGACAGCTCATGTGAAGTGGCGGCGGGGTAATTCTTCTCCATCACCTTGGCTAGGATTCGGCAACAGCGGAAGAGGGCGAGCGCGCTCGACAAGCGGGTGTATTCGCCAGGGAGCGTCGGCTGGAAGCCCTTCTCTGTGACGTACTCGTCGTCTGTGTCTGAAGGATACTCAGTGTGGATCTCATCCTCCTTGAGCAGTTTCGGCAATCCAAGAATGGCACCAGAGAAGCTGCAGCCGTTAGTCCATGTTCCAACTTCATTCTGAGATAATAATACTCACCAATCCAATGTGTACAGAGTCCAGAACACCTTCTTACGGGTCTCAATAGTGAGCGCGCCGAAGGAGAAGCGTTTCTGGCTCTGATGGAGGCCGAGGCGATGGGACAAACCCACCGCAATGCCCTTGTAGTGCTGCAAGCGCTTGTAATCCGCTCTCACGATGCAGTACAAGAGAGCCAACTCAAGACATTGCAGGGTGACCATGGTGTTTTCCATAAGAACAGCCTCGACAGCTCGCTGCCATTGTTGCTCACACGCTGCGATCTGCTCGAGATCGGGCTGGTCGCTGCCTAATGCCGCGATGCCAAAGACGAGGTACAGCTGGGCGATTTTGTGGTTATTCTTGACCTTTTCCGGGTCTGATACGAACTCCTCATAGATGTGGAGGAATGTCGGCTTGTGCAAGACGGGGAATAAGGGAGCCCACTCTTGGAAGTAGACGTTGACGCAGCGATCTGAGAACAAACGCGGCGGCACTTTGAGTGACTGATCAGGCGTTTTCGGCGTCAAGGGATGGCACCCCTGGATATGCAGAAACGCTTCCGGGTTGAAATCTGAGCATGACTTGCCATTTTCTTGCATCTTGCGCTTGAAAGCCTCTGTGTTCCTTGTTAGCCCAAAAGCTCGTTGGTCTATATCTACATCGCTCGGACCGCCACTCTGGGAGGCGGGATGAACGGGTACGCGCATAAGAAGGGCGGTACGAACCGATAAAGGCACGGCCGCTGGAAGGGCCCATAAAGTATGAATCCGAGTTCTCGACGCCGAGTAATAACGGCGACGCCTGCACCCGGAAAGTATCTTCCTTGGCCGGCGCCCCAGCATCCTTTCTTCCATCTGATGTCGACGCGGGTGAATGCGCCGATGTCGCGACGGAAGGGCTGCGCATAGTCGTGTGGCTGTGGTTTCCGTGCATCCTCGACAGCATGTCAATCTTTTCGTCCTTCTCATCCAGCAAGTCCTTCAACTCCCTGACTTCGGTTTCCAGCTGGCGCACGCGCTCCTCGAGAGACTCTGTGTAGCCGCGGGGGAATGCGCGACGGCTCAGCTTGTCGCTTGTGCGGCACTCGAAGCCCACGTTGGAGCATTGCGAGCATGTCGGCCTGATTCCATCGCAACGAATCTTCTTGCTCCGGCACCGGTCGCAGGCCTGTGCTATGCGGCTTTGCGAGCTGGTGCCCACCTTGATCACCTTCATGGGTAATATTCCAGGCATGGTGGCGGTGTTTCCCTCTGTTTTCTACGTTTAGATGTTCCTTCCTAGTGATTTATCCGATGATGGGCAACTCAAGGCGGATATCTGGCGTTGACTAGGTCAGCCTCAGAGGCTTCGGCGGTGACTTTTTCCTGTTCTCTAGATTCGTCGTTGGTGGGCTCGGTTGATTGTTTTGGACGGGCGCGCGGTTGGTTGAATATTTGTATACAGTTGAATCACGAGTCCTCCTCGAAGTGATGGGCGGGTGGTTTCGTAAACCGTCGTCTTCGTTGGGGGTTGCTGCAGGTAGTAGGTATCTTTAGTGACTAAGAAAGTAGGTCCACGAGAACACCGATCTTGCCAACTGAGATGGCAAAGATGACAGCAGAGACACGGAAAAGAGAAGAGAGGAGATTTGGTGTGTTCTACAACTCGGAAGCGGCGGGTGAGCAGTACCTATAATAGGTAGAATGAATTGTAAGGTCGAACAAGACGAAGAGCAATAGAGATGTTGGGTGGGAGGGCGGAGTCGGGGGTGTGTGTGAGGGAAAAAGGGAAAGAAGAAGTGGAAGATGGTCGTAGGGGAGAGGGAGTGAGACTGTGGGGTCTCTTAGTAGCAAAATGAACACAACGACTGGGAACGCTGGACGCAGGACACCACACCGAAAGGATTTGCTGCTAGGAACGCGGTACAAGATGAATCGTGGGGAGTTGGGGACGGTAAAGTACCTACCTGCCTGCCTTAGGTTAGGTACACTAGGCTACAAGTACAGTACCACCTACCTAGAACAAGACCCCGTGGACGATGTGCGGGGACCAGGGATGGACCAGGAGCCTAATGTAAGGTCGAAACAGCCTTCCGCTTCTTGACTGGAATGCACAGAATTGGTGAGCTCCTGCCTGCAGCCCCGTCAATTACTTACACTGAGCAGAGGTACCTTACTGCTCGGTTCTGGTGAGGTGCTGCTGTGGAGAGGAAAGTACCTGAGGAAACGGGAGGTTTTGGTGGGCCCCGGGCCGGCTCTCGCACTGGATAATCTGCCCTGCATCGCTGGCCAGTGCCTTGCTGTGTTGTGTAAGCGAGGAGCCCTTGAAGGTACAGAAATCTGGGGGAAGAGCAGCCCGGGGTCTGCCAGGCGGCCCTCGCGCCGGCGCTGGTGTTGGGAAAAGTTGGGGTGAGGTGGGAAACGATACAAATGCACGCTAACAAGAGTGAGGGGGAGCCAATCACCAACTGGCAATTGTATACCACCCAGCTCGCTAGACCGTAGACTTAAGTACGAGTACTTCGCTTCTGAGGTCTTCCAAAGTACATTTCCTGATATGGCCACTTGGTGAGGTGCTAGGTACCACCCAAGGTACCGGCCAGCACTCGATGACTGACAAGATCTAAGCTCTGGAAACAGGCGCCAGACAGAATGGAAGCCAGAAGCAGAACAGAAGCACACCACTACACTTTTGCCCGCCACGATAAACGTGTCCATCAACGCCATGCGTCGACATGATGTATGCCGGTCTGCTGTTGTGCCCGTAGCCTGACAGCGTCGCCAAAGCACAATGCCCCACGCAAACACGCGCTGGCCTGTCCTGCCATTGTCCCGTGTCTATGAAAAGCAGCATCTCTCTCTTCATCTCGCCATTCAGCCCTTCAAAAGCAGCTCAGCGGACGCAGATATGGCACCACTCGAGTCCTTAGAAGCAGCAGACCACTTCCCCAACTTCAGCTATCCAGTCTCTAGGTAGACCATCCGGTCTCTCCAGAGGCCCCAAAAGTCAACAGGCGCCTACGGCAACCTGACGGAAGGAAAAGCTCTAGACCATTTTGGACGCGGGGCGGATCCGCCCCCCAGAGTTTCCGCTCCGTTGTCAGCCCAGTGTCATGCGCAAGCGTCTCCTGGCGAGTCGTCCATTCCATGCTTCATGCCGCTTCGCTCCAACCAACCCGACCAACCACTCCTTTCCGCCACCACCCATCTCGCCTTTTCCCCAGATTCAGCCTTTCGTTCAGGGCAAGATTCGGAACAAAGAGATACATAGACAAGCTTGCGAATTTGACGTTCGGCAAAAGTAGGAACAGCCCACTGGGCTCTGGGGAAAAGGAGGGAGGCACCTGGGGTTCGAACTGGGGCGCAGGCCACAGGAAACTGGGGGAGAAATCCGGGGCATGGCCCCCGGTGCCGTTACACTGGTTCCGGGGCCCCCCATTATCGCCATATACCCATATCGGATTGGATCAACCCCAGTCGATGATCGCTTCCTCGTTACTGGTGGCCCCAATGATTCGCCGCCTGGGACGAAAGCTGCTTGGCCCACGCCTGCCACGCAAACTGGACCAATTCTTCACCTCTGCAGCGCTCTTCAAGGCCTATCGAGTCTGAGCGTGCGCGGCAGTGATACCTAGTCGTCAATACTGGGCCCGACCTTGCGGTGAGCAGCCAATAAACACAGACGAGCCGCGACTAAACTACCGGATCTTTTGCGATCAACGGGATCTTCGCTGTCTCGAGACCTGTTGGCACCTATTGGCATATCATCACTGAGAGATGACGCCTAGTCTTCATGTCACAACCTCTTGAGCTCTTGCACTGACCAACAGCCGTCATCATGATCAACCCGGCCCGGAATCCAGTGTATATGTTGCGACGACAACCAGACACTGCCCTCCGAATTTGGCTCGACCAGACAGGGTCCAACAGATTCCGAGATAGTTGACTGCCCCAATGTCACTTTGAAGTCTGAACGCGCCCGAGTCCCCGACGTCTTGACTCGAGTGACGCTTCTGTGATGCAATGAAAAGACCCACTGATATTGAAACTGGCGCCAGCTAGTCGGTAATCGTGAGTCCGCCAAAAACGGATCCCCCCATCCAAACATGTCACACCGTCGACGCCGTTGGCGTTGGGGATGGAAGGAAACCACGCTATCTTTGCGGAACCGCAATTGCAAAACTTTATCCCCTGCCCGCATTCCGCGCCGTTCTCGGGCGGGCCCACTTCACTTCAGTCCGGGCTTCGGGTCAGCGGTACCTGTAACTTGTAAGCTGAACACTGTCCTTCGAGGAGTCGAGGCTCAAGGAAGCACAACGTAGCAACAGTCTCGAATGCTCGCGTGCTCAGTGCTCGGCATCGCAAATATATGAGTCTGCCTGTTCCGAGTATTTGTCGTGCTGCCCGTCGTTGATTGGGCTACTCTCAGCATCTCCAAACAACATTCGGCCCTGTTCGGAAAGCGGACTTGTCTCGTCAACTCCAGACAATCCCATCCCAGATGATATGGGTATTTGTGTAGAAAGCCAAAAAGACATCATTTAACGGATAACGGGATCGGATGAATAAACGCATCCTGTCACGTCCGCAAGGCAGGCCAAAACATGAGACAGGCGAAGTTGAGCAAACCACGCCACTTTGTTACTTCGTCCTGACTCTCCTTTCTCGAAGAATTCCTGTTTGAGCGTCCCCTGTGGCATTCACCCAGTCAAAGATCGAATTGCAGAAGAGTGGTGCTCCTTCTCTATCCCTCATTCCGCAATCCCTTCCCCACACTACACTGTTGGTAATCGCACGTTGGAACGCTGACACCGCGCGCTGATGATGCACGTATCCCTTATCGGAGACATTCGTTGAGCTGCAGATGCCGCGAACAACAGGAACGTCAAACTCGTAGGGGTCGTTGTGTTGTGTTGGGAAATTCTACCCCATAACGTTTACCATGGACGACCCGATTGCCGCCCTTCATCGTGATATTTCGTTCATGCAAAAGACCCAGGGCGAAACCCAATCGGCGCAAGCTGCATCCCCGCTGGCAAGTCACCCAGATTCGATTCAATGACAAGGTCCAGGGTCTCTCCCACACGCGCCTGCTGCTCGGCGTGGCATCCCCCGTCGCTCGCTCCTTGTCCAAATACGTGCACCTGCTGTGTTTCTTCCTGCCCTCGTCTTCAAGAGGTTGAGGAGGCGCAGAATGTCACGTCGCGGACGAAATTGAGCAACATTCGCACCCTACTGTAGAGGTCCGTTCCGGACATGGCCCACCTACGTCGATCTCCATTGCACCTAGGTGAGGCCATGAACTCGTCGTCCGCCCGCCAAGTCTGAGCCTCGACGAGCCTCACGCTGCTCGGTGTGATGAGGAGTCTTCGGGGCGTTCCGCGCATGCCGGCGAAGAAACCGGATCACTTCGGCCTTGTTCTCGAAATGCAGATGGCGTCTGTTTGTGGCACGATGGCTATCAAGTATTGTTGTCAAACTCCATGAGATGGCATCGCCCCCATTATCAGACATGCATCGTGCAGGCAAACGCGGGGCATCCGGATGTTTGGTGCTGCACTCAACTGCCATTGTACAAGCTCCTGTTCTGCCCCGTGTGAAGGGAAGAGGTGGTGTTTTGATGGGTTTCCGTAGTTTTCGTAGGATAAGACGTCAAAGTAGTAAAGCACTCTAGTTGCGAACAAGCTCAAACTTCATGAATAAGGTCGTCTGCATTGCTCCATGGTCTGGTCTCTGCTGCAGCCGCTCATCGCCATGCTTCGCAACGGCGTACTATGCCCCAGATGGGCACCGCCGCGACTGAGTCTACGCTCGAGGTTGTGACTGCCGAATGGATCGACCCGGCCACCTGGCTTCGCCTGTCACTCCCTCCCTAACTGGAGTCTTCATCTTCATTGGATAACTCGTCTTGAACTAGGTCATTTTGGGCATCTTCCATCAACCCGAGATAAGCCACCACGTTCTCGTCTGCGAGGAGTTGTGTTTTCTGCAAGGTTAGGGCACATCGCCCACCCTTGTTAGCCTGGGCGCCACACGCGGGGGAAGTCTGGAGTTGAGACGGGTCTCCGGGGTAATCGAATTGTAGGAGAAAAATAGAAGGATTGCAGGACTTTGAGAAGCAGAAAGACTCTGGAGTGAAGTGGGCAGAGAATCGTAAGATTTGTCTGCAGCCCTAGCACTGACAGGAGACCGGCGATGAAGAGTAGCAAACCACTTACCTGGTCTTCTAGAGCCTTCGCGGCAGCTTCTAGCAAGCTCGTCTCTTGCTCCCTCAGCGTTGCAGCTGCACTGATGCATGTCCCGCAGACGAGACCACCTTCATTCAGGGACTCGTCCAGGTCCTCCAGAGATACACCGGTGGCCAGTCGCTCAAGCTGGCTGGCCACCAGATCCTCCAAAACGGAAACAACCCGAAGACGAAAGATTTGAGCTAGGGGGTGTTGATCGATGTGTTGCTCGAAAGCCGTTGTCGTCAAGGTCACATCCTCTTCTTGCCAGAATAGTTTTAGCTCCCGTGAACCTCCGGTGTCCTGCAAGACGCGAAATGACAGGCCGTCCTCCTCGTTGAGGCACATGAAGTAGGCAAAGGGGCTCTTCCAGCTGAGTGAGCCATTCGTCCGGACAAACTCCACAGTCGGTGCTCCATCAAAGACGTGCAGCTTCGCCTTGCCCAGCGGGTCGTCTTCCATGGGTATCAAGGGCAGCGTGATCCGGTCGGCGGCTGACGCGGGGTCAATGAACCCATAGCTGAAGAGCATCTCTGCCCCGGATTTCGCGTCTCCGTAGGATATCGTCATCTCGTCCCCAGACGAGACCCTGCAGCCGGGTCGCAGAAGGAGTACTACCTCGTCCTTGCCATTCTCCTCGTAGTAGGCATTGGCCTTGGATGAGTGATTTGCCAAGTCTAGCACCGGGACCATGGCCTCCCCTGATTTGGGGAGCTCCAGACATCGGGACCGAAACCACGCATCGACCCGAACCCAGTCAATGAGCGACACCTTGTCGCTTTCCCAAAACAGCTCGTTCCAAAACGGTAGAGTCGCAGAAATCTCTCGGAGCTCGTCAAACTCGTCTGTCAACGCAACAATCTTGGCGGCCGTGGCCGACTACTTCTTGTTAGAACGTTATCCATAAGCAATAGCTGAAGCCTTCGGGACATCGGTTCTATCTCACTCAGCCGCAATACTTGGCTGGCGAAGAAGTAGACCTCCATATGAGAACGATTCCACGAAATTTGGGGTTGCAATATTGATGTTGTTAAATACGGGGGTTGGACCAAACCTGCGTAACCAACGACAGCCGGTATTTGCTTTTCAGGGAAGGCCGTAGGCAGTGAGAAGGGAGGCTGGAGAATTGCTTGCCTCAAGTGATGTTCCATTCAACATCTCGCGTTCCTGCTCAGTCCAGAGGGTGGTAACAGGAACTTGCGGTGGCAGGTACTTGACGTATTCTGTCCATGGCGTCGAGACTCCGCCCTTCAAAGACGTTTTGGGCCTATCAGAAAGTACCTTCTGTGTGAGAAGAAAGAGGCAAACGTCATGGCGAGTGGACTAAATTAAGAAGATGGGTAATCCTTTAGCTTTCCAAGGTCCGCATCAGGCTCGGGCGAACACTCTACCTTGTGACCGGCAGCCTCGAGCAGCTGCCGAAAGTTCTTATCGACCTTTGCATAGTTCTCAACAGCTTCGGCGGATAACACCAGCTCGCCTGGGATCCTGAGTAAGGTTGGGATGTCAAAGGTCTCTTCCTCTCGACTGAGCTCCTTGTTTGAAAGTAGACCCAACCCGCAGCCGGGGATTTCGCGGGCCTCGACGTCGACGAGGTCTACGTCATTGAACATGGCCCAGGTGGAGAGGGTCTCCAGGGGAAGCTGCGTAGACGCCATGACGAGGCTGTCGCCTTGCTCTCAATGGGATTGAAGATATACTTGCGAACGGGCGGGATGTTGGTCGTTGCACTGCAGTCTCGTGGTTTGTCAGGCAAGTAGCGAGCAAATGTGGAAAGATTCAAGCGCGAGTCCCGGAGCAAAACGGTTGCTCAAAGCGCAGGGTGGATCGCAATGGCATGTACTGCTACCGAGCAGCGAATACAAGTGCTTGAGGGTTGGAACTGCAAGAAGCCGATGTCTCTCACCAGGAAACAATTCAGTTTTTCTTTTGTCATGTCAGAAAATCATGTTTTGAAACGGCAAGATATCTTTTTGGGCCAAGATTTCAATAGAGGCGCCGCATTGGTAGTTAGAAGCCCAAAGAAGCCTAAAAGACTGGGCCCCATCGCGAAGGCGGGCACGCACTCTACCTACTCGTCTCATGTTCAAGTACCTTAAGGTAAGAACCATCTTCTCGCAGCTCTGCTTGAACTTTCCGATGCAAAAGAAACATGGGCTTTCGACTCAAATACCACAACACTGAAAGACGACGGAGGTCACTGGATGGACATTGGAACTCGGAGGGTGTCAAAGTCCTGTTTTCGTAGGTGGCCTATGTACTGATACTCAGGTAATTGGCCGGAGCATGATTAACAACTGCTAGTCATCATGGCGGAACGACCAGACAATCCCGCTCTAAGGTAAGTTCGCAACGTCCTAGGAAGCATGTTTCCCCTATACCATTCCTGACAACTCCGAAATTATGCGTGCAGACCTAGCCGGGTTACGGCGAGATCAAGGTATCATCGATATGAAATAGGATAAGGAAACGAAAAGCAGACCAAACTCCATGCTGAGCATTCCCGGTCCCGTTGTCGCTGTTCACATGGCTCGTTAAGATGAGTAGTAACACAGACTTGCAGCCATCAATCGGCTGCACTGATCATCGTGCTTCAGGTTACCGACCATTTGAGGCGAGATGCTCCTTGAAGAGCTCAGCGGCACGACGAGCATCCCTCCGCTGACTCTCTTCATGTATCTTGCGCATCCAGGCCGCTCCCCGCACCCACTCCTCGTTCCTGCGGACATAGATTGGCAACTCCTCTTCAGGGACATCGCCGAAGTCCATGTGTCTATGGTGGGACCACGGCCGTGGCTCGCCCCTCGCCGAGGCCAGATTGTCTTCCTCTTCCTGGCGCTCTTCTGCCAAGCGCTGCTGTCGCATACGCTTGGCTGCTTTGCCGAAGTTCGCCTTGCGGCCACCTCGGGCTTTGATTTCCTCCATCTTCGACTTGTACCACTGGTCGCTGCGATTATGTGGCCAGTGGATGCGAGGGTCAAGCTTCATATGAAAGCGGCCGTCATCTGCACCAGGTGTCGAGGCTCCTTTCGAGGTCTCTATTGTCGCAGCCAGAGTATACACCCCCAGAGGAGGTCTCGTGGCGCCGGGCTGGCTATATATCATGGCGTCGAACTTGGTGAATTCAAAGTCGGCGCAAAGCTGGAGTCGACGCTCTTCACAGGTCAGTCTCTTCGTTTTGCGGGAAGAACTGGACTTCGGATCCTGTTGGTAGCGATTCTGTGGGTCGGCCCTCCCTAGTGTCGAGCCTTGTCGAAGTGTGCCATTCGGCAAAAGGACGTGATTATGACTCTGCCCGTTGGCAAGTTTTGGCTGCCGTATTCTCCCATCTTTCTCCCGTCTACCATCTTCGTCCTCGTCAGAGGAAGAGCTGAGCACAATAGGCCTAAACACGGCACCCAGGCGAGTGGTATCCTCATTTCTCGAAGAACGTGAACGTGACGCCTCGAGATTGGCGCCAGGAAGTCCCAAAGAAGATGTGGACTGTGAAGCATTCAAAGTTGCTGGGGCTCCAAGGTAAGTGGACGAATGGGGATGCCCAATGACTACCTTTGCCTGCTCTGGAGCTCTATCATCGATCTCGTCATCATCGTCATCAAGATCTTCATCAGAAGAGCTGGATGACGACGATGACTCGGATGTTGTGTCAGTACTGTCAAGCCTTCTACGCTTGCCGGCCGAAGACGTGAATCTGCTTGTTGAAGCTGATCGTGATGCCGATGGCGCCGATTTCACATGCATTGGCGGCAGACTCTTAGTATTGACGTGAGGCAGTGCATCGAAGCTTCTGTTCCCAGATAGCGTAGATGCCGAAGGTGCAATGGAAGTCCTTCCTCCAAGTTGACTTCTGTTGCTTTCGGCATCCGGCCGAGTGCTCAAATCGCGAGCGGCATGTGACGCATTCTTAGTGCCTGGCATCATCGCGGACTCTTGAGATGCTCGAGGGCTTTGACCTGGTCGATATCCCCCTGAAGAAGCCCGTGCTGAGTTGTATCCCCATGTCTTCTTTCCCCTTGGTTGCACCTGTTCGACGGTTGCAGACGTCTGCGATATGCGCTGGTTTGTATCGGTACTGCTAGATAATCGCTTCGTCTGGTCTTGTGATGGCGAGTGCACTTGATTAAGAAGTGGCCGAAAAGGATTGAACGTGCCAGGAGGGAGAGTTTCATGGTTAATTGGTGAGACAGACTCAGGAGTGTGAGTTTGCGCAGAAGTAGTGTGGAACCTTGGATGAGTCTCTTCTTCCATGCGCTTCTTAGGAGGAGCTTTTGCCCCGGCTGTCTTTCTAGCTGTCATTGCCAGTTTTCCCATGAGATCGGCCGGCAGATTCGTCCTTCTGACTGTGGCATGGGCGCTCTGGAAAGCGTGTGCTGGTTCGTCTCGAAAATCCCTGCCACGTGAATGGGACTGGCTGCTTCTCGACTGGTCGTCATGACTAACTCGCCCTACGTTCTGCGATGGGTTCTGCACCACGGAGGGCCTTGGGGGCGCGCGTCCAGATGAGCCGGCAGCAAGATGCGCAGCACTGCCTCGAGCAATCCTCCTTTCTGCTTGATGGCGTAGGCAAAGAGTCCCATTGAGAGCACTGGAATCGCATCCGTCTTCGGCACACCGTTTTGTAGACTGCTGACGAAGGGACTCCATCTCCTAGCGGCCTGGTTCTTCATGAAGATATCTCGATTCTATCAACTTGCTGAGATGGGTTTCCACGGACACAGGGTCGGGGTCAGTAGATCTCGAAAGCCTTGTTGCCTAGCCAGACCTGCTCTAAAGGGCGAAAGGCCGTTGCCCAAGTGCTGAAGTCAACGAAGATACGTCGTTAAGATTGGATGTTTGAGTCTCTCGGAAAACCGTTGTCAAAAGTCGAGCTGAGTGGTGCGCCCTAATTCAAATTCGGAACAACGTGTCGAGCAAGAAGTACACAGCGAGGATGGGTTCCTTTCTCTTCATGGTCTGGGACTTGGAGATTAGGTGGCCAGAGGTGCACGACAGGAGGGTTCTACTGAAGTAAGGTTAGCTTAAAGTTCAACCTGACGTTAGACGGGACCTGGAAGGTCCTTCAAAACAAGTTGGAGCCAAATGATGACAGTTGTAGAAATAAAGTGTGCGCTCAGGTCTTTTCAGTCATTTTGGTCTTCATATTGGGGACCGCAGCGGGTTCGTAGTCTCATCTTGAACCATTTTACTTGTCTTCCTGAGCCTTTGGTCCTACTCCGTTTGGGTAACTAGTAGCAGAACTCCAAAATGAGGTCATGTTCATTTCGCTTCTCAATCCTATGTTGGTATACTGCATTGTTTAAGCAGCTCCGTCTGTCGCGTATGCTGTTCGCTCGGCGAAAGCCTTGCGAGGATGAGGACGTGGCTCATTCGTCAAGAACGGCCATTGAACGGTAACAAGATGAGACAACAAACCCAGAAGAATCCTTTTCGATCGGACCTTTTACCAGTAGTCATCACTGCGCGTAAGAAATGTGTGTTGGGGGTCGGGGAAGGACATCAAGGCCTTGGAGAAGCAAAATCGCACTTACCCGTTGGAGAATCGCCTGCTCCCTCAGAGTCGCGCCTTCGGCCGCCAGCACACGACACTTTGGCATGGGTTAGGAAGATAAAGAGCTTTGGGACCGGGTTGAAATCGATTGAAAATGATTGAGTCTTGTTGTGAACGCAGAGTTGTGATCAAGTTTCTCTTCGTAGCTGCGCGAATGCTCAGGGTAAACCAAGCTTTTGTCGAGTCGCAAGGCTGGTCGGGTTGCTGAGGCTCTCGCCTCGCGTTGCGTTCAGTGGAGGTTGATGAAGGTCGCTTGCTTGAATTCACTGGAGGGCCTCTGGGTAATCCTTGCCTAGCTTCGTTAACAGACGGAACGACCTTGACGGGGCACCGTCGATTTGCATCCGGGCCCACCCAAAACATCGGCGAACGGATCATTTGTCACCCGTATCACCCCTCCATCCAAAATAGCCTAGCGCGGGGATCTTCAGGCATGAGCTGCTGCCCGTGGTCCCCTGTTCCAGTGTCAACGGTCCACTATCTTGTCGCCAAGTTGCCCGAAGCTCCCTGCCTACCTCAGCACTCGCAGCGCGTGCGTTGCCCCTTCCGCCAAATATACAATTTTGAGACCAGCAGTCGCCGATTGACCAGATCCTGGCTTCCTGAATACGCTCTCGGATTTGGTAGAGCAAGATGAATTTCCTCAAGTCAGCAGTGGCCTCTGCCATTGCACAGGGGCCACCATTCCCTTACAGCTTTGGCGACAAGGTGGACATCGACGAGTCCATATGGACATTGAACAATGGCACCAAGCGAGTATGTCTAGCTACCCGACGACGCAATCGACAGCCCAACATCTAACGCCCCTTGACAGGAAGACGGTTCCAACTGCAGTATTTTCTCCTTTGATGTTGCCGCCAACAAGTCCCGACTACCCCTGGCGAAGAACGCACTGCGAAAGCTGAGGACCTTACGACACCCAGGCGTCATCAAGGTGTTGGATACCGTGGAGGTAAGGGCGGCCCTTGACTACCTTACACGGAGCTTTGTCTCACAAGACTATGCAGACCGATACATATATCTACATTGCGACCGAGCGAGTGGTGCCTCTACGATGGCATGTGAAGAGAAAGAGCCTCACGCCAGAAACGATAAAATGGGGATTGAGCAGCGTTGCGGTATGTTGGGTTGATAATATAGTTGAGTGGGAAGACTAATTTTTCCTAAAGCGCACCATCAAATTTATCAATGATGAGGCTTCGTCAATACACGGCAACCTAAGGGTTGGCTCTGTGTACACATCTGAGAGTGGGGAGTGGAAGATGAGCGGGTTTGAGGTTCTGAGCAATGTGAAAGACGACGAAGCAGTGATATACGTAGGTATTCCTCCTTGATCTTAGGCAACACATTTACTGACATCGAGGCTTAGACATACGGCAGCTTGGTCCCAGATTCAGGGCGATATGCGCCACCTGAGCTTGCTCGTGGTGGCTGGGATGCCATCAAGAAGAGCCCGCATTCCGCAGTGGACTCATTTGGTTTCGGATGTATGATATTTGAAGTTTTCAACGGCGACTTCATGGGCTCTGATCAAGCCGGGCAGACGAAGAGCATTCCTCCGACCATGCAACAAAGTTACAAGCGTCTCGTCAACCCAAACCCTAAGGCGCGTGTTAGCGTTGGCCATTTCCTAGAACAAGGACAACGGAGTGGATCTTTCTTTGACAGCCCCTTAATCAAACTGACAGAAGGCATCGAGAATCTGGGTGTGAAGACTGAGAGTGAGAGAGAGGCATTCCTCGAGTAGGTCCTTTGATGTCGAGTCAATTATGTTAAGCATGTAACTGACCCATACAGTGATCTCGATCAACTGACGGACGATTTCCCCGAAGACTTCTTCAAGATGAAGATTCTCCCGGAGCTCATCAAGTCAGTTGAGTTTGGCGGCGGCGGCCCGAAGGCCTTCAGTGTCGTAATGAAAATTGCAGCCAAGCTTTCAAACGAGGATTTTGACTCAAAGATCACACCCGTCGTAATCCGGCTATTCGCCAACCCCGATCGAGCGATCCGCGTCTGCCTTCTCGATAGCCTGCCATTGATGATCGATCGGTTAACACAAAAAGTGGTCAACGACAAGATCTTCCCACAGCTCGTCACTGGCTTCACAGACGTGGCGCCAGTTGTCCGAGAACAGACTTTGAAGTCGGTTCTAGTCATCATTGGGAAGTTGTCTGATCGTACCATCAATGGAGAGCTGCTCAAGTACCTCGCCAAGGCCGCCAACGATGAACAGCCGGGCATTCGAACAAACACCACAATTTGTCTGGGAAAGATTGCCAAAAACCTTGGAACATCTTCGAGAGCCAAGGTGCTCATCGCTGCCTTCACCAGGTCCCTGCGTGATCCATTTGTGCATGCCCGAAATGCCTCGCTAATGGCCCTCGGCGTCACAGGAGATTGCTTCTCCGACGAGGATGTGGCTTTGAGGATAATGCCCGCGGTCTGCCCCTTGCTGATTGACAAGGAGAAGGTGATCCGTGACCAGGCGAGCAAGACGATGGACGTTTACCTGAAGCAGGTCAGGAAGGCCGCCTCCAACATGCCAGAAACCGCTCTGCCTCCTCAGGCCGCAGAAGGCGCCGGCGGACCTCGCATGAGCACTCCCCAACCCAACGAGGCCTCGGCAGCATCCTGGGCCGGGTGGGCCATCTCCTCTTTCACCAACAAGATTTCGACTGCGAACGGTGAGATGCAAACCTCCAACGGCTCAGGCGCTGCGTCTCCCAAGCCGACTCCATCGCCAGGCCCCGACGCGAAGAGGCCGACCACCTCGTCAGCCTCGGCTCTGCATCGTCAGGCGGTCAAGTCCCCCCCGCCAATGTCGCGAACACCGTCGTCGGTCGTGGCAGACGCCTTCAACCCGGAACCTGCGGACGACGGCGGAGACGCTTGGGGCGATCTTGGAGATGATGACGGTTGGGGAGAGCCAACCACCAACAGCAGCTCGTCGGCTAAGAAGGCAACTACGGCCAGTGCAACTCCATTTGACGACGGTGCAGAGCCAGATTTCGCCGGCTGGCTGGCGGCGCAATCCCAGAAGAAGACCGGAGGAAGCAAGCCGCTGCCAAAGGGCCTCTCGAAGTCAACAACAGCAGCGAAGAAGCCTCTGGTGTCGAAGCCGGCTGCTAAGCCTGTGGTAGCGAAGAAGATCGACATGAAGCCAAAGGACGACGATGACGATGAAGGCTGGGGAGATGGATGGTAGGTGATAATCGGAGCAAGACAAGACAAAGTTTGCAGCATTTACGGCGTTAAGGGGTGCGGGATACCACGATGTTGCAAGTAATGTTCATGTAGCAGTAAAGCCTGCCAATTGAGAATTTGTAATGCAGACGGCCGCAGCCTCATCTGTGAATGCGATACAAAGGACTGTCCCGGACGCCCCGCCAACCCAATCCCCAAAAGTCATAATGAAGAAAAGTTACAAGCCATGATTGAAGGAAAAGCCTTTTGTAGACCAATGAACCAACCAACGCAGACGTGTCCTCCCTAGTAAAACCCTCCCCAAATCGTTATCTAGCAGACTCGGAGTAGTCGTTGAGGGCGACACAGACGGCGCCTCTGTGGTGACCATTGTACTGGCGAATGATCTGCTGGCTGTGAAGCTCCCACAGCCGGGCATAGTGGTCGGAACAGGCCGTCACCAAATAGGCAGAATCGGCGCTGAACGCGCAGTCCCAGACCCAGCGCTGGTGGCCCGTGAGGGTGGCCTCGAGCGGGAACGGCTTAGGCTCCTGGTCGGGGGCAGGCTCAAGGTCCTTGACCTCCCAGATGCGGGCGGTGTGGTCGGCGCTGCAAGTTGCGAGCTTCTTGACGTCGGGCGAGAGGAGAATGCGCGTGATGTACTCCTTGTGCGCATTGAAGTGAGTTACTGGAAGGAGCTGGGTTCGGTCGTAGGCCTGCAGCAGCTGCCACACGAATACGTTGCCCTAGTTAGTCGTTAGTTCTGGTGTCGCATTCTATGTCTGTAGGCAATCGTGAGAAGCTTACGCCATTATTCGCAGCGCAAAGCAGAGAGCCGTCGCTGGCGACCGTGACGCTTGAGACCGAAACGTCCTCCTCGGGAATCAGCTGGTGGGAGCAGTTGTTCTCGGCAAGGTCCCAGACACGGACGCTGCCCTGGCGATCGCAACTGATGATTTCGCCCTGGTTAGGATGGATCACGACGTCGTTGGCGGGACAGCCGTGGTTGTAGGAGCGCTGGACCTGGCCACTGCGTGTCTCCCAAATCTTGACGGTGCCATCCTCGGAGCTGGTCACCATCCACTTGCCCTCGCAGTGGAAAGCGACGCCGGTGATGTTGCCAGTATGGCCCTCGAAGGTAAGCAGTGGGTTCGGGTTCGTGGACTTGATATCGTAGAGTTTGACCGTGTGGTGGCCTGCGGCGGCGAGGAAGCGCTTGTCGGGAGAGATGCAGAGGCGATTGACCTGGGAGTCTGGGTGCTGGATCGTACGGGAACAAATGCCCGAGAGGGCCTCCCAGAACCTGCATTCGGAGAATGATTGTCAGTCAAAGATTCCCAATTATTCGGCGGTCGGGATCGAGCCTTGAATAGTTTCGTACCTGATTGTGTGGTCGTAACCCGCTTGGACAAGGTTAGTGACCGATTCCAATGCTTTGTCGACCGGGAGAAAGAGGTAAAGGTTCCTCAAGGCTCAAGAGAACTCACCTGTGCAAAGAATCACAGACATGGTGACTGTGATGAAGCCTTCGGCCTCAGTTATCGCATGTTATGATTTATGTGTGTATGGAAGATGTTGGTCGAATATTGAGGAAGGCGCATCCAGAAATTGGGAGTTGTATTTGCGCGCGCAGGATCGCCAGTAGGAGGATGCAGCCCCTCCACGATGTAGTCGGCTGGGTTGGACTCTCGACTGGAGCTTCGGCTCACATTCCTAACAATGCGGCCCCACTACAGGTCCGGGGACACCTGGGGTCTCACCGAGGTGTGGCTGGTGTCGGGATTACTTCGGAATTTGGCACACAGACTACCACTCACCACCACGTAGGAGAAGGCGCGCCTTTGAATAAATGAATGCCCAGCTCCATTATTTTTACGGTCTAGAATTCAAGAGGCAACTAACTACCTTTCGACATGGAATTCATATGCGTATGCTTCCTTCATTTGAAGACTGACCACTCCTTGTCTGACATCTTCTACTGGCCACAACTATTGTCACTTAATTCTCTATTCTAAATCTCCTAATCTTTTCGAGTGTGACTCCGTCTCTATCGCACGCCTTCCTAAAAAACACACTGTTATTCCACACAGCCATGATGTCTCCATAGGCCTCTATCCTGCCCTGGTCAAGGACGAGCACTCGATCAAAAAGCATAGCAGACTCCATGCGATGCGTGACCGCTATCATTGTACTACCCTTCAGTGTCTCTTTTACCATCTTCGTAATTTCAACATCCGCTTGGACGCTAAATCCTCCCAGAGTCTCGTCCAGCACACATACCCGTGGTTTCTGAAGTATCATGGACGCTAAGGCAATCAGTTGTGCCCTCCCTGTTCCTTGAGCGACCTGCTCGTCAACAAGCTTGTCGAGTACGAGAGGAACCTGACTGTGCAGCCCGGCCACCCTGTCCAAATCCGACAGTAGACGACTGATTTCGTCACGAGAATGACTGGTTTCTGGATCGACAGCCTCTCGGACAGTGCTACTGGGAAATGAGGCGGCATCGTGAGGGACTGCAACGAGATGGGACCTCAAGACATGTAACGGAATGTCCACCATTGGTATGCCATCCAGGGTGACGGTGCCCATCGTGGGATCGAGTAAGCGGAGTAGTAGGGCGACAAGAGTCGATTTACCTCCACCCGTAGGTCCTACAACCGCAACATGCGTATCGCCTGGGATGGTGAAAGATATTTGCTGCAGAGCAGAGGATGTCTCCTGGAGATTTTCTTGACGGTGAGAGACACTCATGTTCCGAACAACTATCTCCCCGGAGTTCGGCCACGATTGCTCGAGAGAAAAGCGGTAACCCAAGGCACGCTCCGTCTCGCCCTCACGAGGTAGACTGGTTGCATAAGCTGCCAGGCGGTCAACTGCGACCATTGACTGAAGGGCGCTCGTAGAGAATCTCATGCCTTGTCTCAGGGATGCCGGTAGCACCAACGCTTGACTCATTATCAGGCCAATGATAGAAGGAGATAATGAACCTGAGGCAGTCACTACAAATAGACCCGTGAGCCCAATAGTACTGGCCACGATAGCATCAAGTCTCACTTCAAGCCAGCGTAGGTTTGCGGCGGCCAGCAAGCGGATATTACTCCAAGCGTTCAGCCGTTTGACTAGAAGGGACCGAGCCGATATTTCGGTCTTGTAAACAGAGATGCAGCTAGCGCCGTCCACGCTCTCGCTGAATGCAGCGTTCACACGGGACCGTAACTCAGCTTCGCGAGATCGAGCTGTCTTCAAACGAGGAGCGTAACGGCGCATCATAATGACGACGGCGGCTAGGCCTGGTACTACAACAAGGACAAGCTGGAGGAACTATTGTGAGCACAAATCTTTCGTGAGCATGTGAAAGGTACATACATTGATCTGCATTGCCAACATCAGGGCAACTCCACCCAATAGGCGCGCCAGATGGAGGGTGGCATTGCGCGTTGCCTCGATCAGCTCTCTATCGGTCGTATCTACATCTTTGGAGAGGCGATCCATGATGCTTCCCAAGGAGTGGCTTTGGAAGAACCTCATGGGTGCCCCGACCACACGTCTCACTGATCGCTCCCACAGGCTATGGCTCGCTTGCAACATCTTTCCCGTGATGTTCAGGCACAGCACATACGCCAGTATCGCCTCTCCAAATCCTAGCATAGCGAAGATTGCTACTGACGCGAGACCCGACAGCCCTAACCGATCAGAAGTCCACAGTGAAAGCCAAAGCACGAGGACGGCGGCGGTTACTTGCCAGCAAAAGACAATGCCTGCTGCTGTGGACGTTGCTCTTGGGCCACCCACGAGTTCCAGGTACCAGTCGAAGGACTTTTGTACTCTAGCATTTGCTTGTGGTGCTGTTACAACAGAGGCACGTGTAGTAGTCGGGCCTGCTACTTGTACTGCATCCGCATGCGATGAGGGCTGTTCTGGTAGCGGTTGCATCGTCTTGGTCTGAGGAGACTCGTCCGTTCCGATGGATGGTAAGTGTTGTTCAAGTCTATCCAGAGACCTCAGCTCGCTGGCACGTCCATTGTCGAGCCACAGCACCCGGTCACATCGGCGGGCCACCCAAGCCTGGTTTGTTGCGATCAGGCGCGTTTTGTTCTCCAACAAGCTGCAAATTCCACCTTCAAACGCTGCCTTTCCTGTTGCAGGGTCAAGATTGCGGAGACAATCGTCAATGAGGACAATGTCAGCATCCGAATACATGGCTCGGGCCAGACTGACACGTTGAGCTTGGCCGCTTGAGAGACCTTGGCCTCCGGAGCCAATAATAGTGAGATCCCTGCGAGGCATTCTGTCGATATCGCCCAGGAGAGCTGAAGCGCTGACCACTTTCCAATATCTGACCTCGTCGAACTTTTGGTCGAAGAGGATATTGCTGCGGATCGTTCCTTTCCTTAGCCATGGTATCTGACCAGCCATGGCCACCTTTGACCCGATGCCCAGTTCTAAGCCGCCAGAATCAAGGCACATTTGACCTGCGACTGCACATAGGAGAGATGATTTACCAGATCCAGGCGCACCACAGACAGCTATCAGCTCACCTTTCGTGACCTGAATATTGGTGTCAAAAGACAGTACGAAATCGCCATCTTCAGTTGTAGCTGGCCAGCAAACCACTGTGTCCTGAGCTATGTCAACTGCCCAGTCTGCGGAATTCGCCATCGTTTCTCCAGGCTCTTCCGTCTCTAACCACTGCTCAATTGCGCGGCATCCCACCAGTAAATCCTGCAACTGCACTGCAGCCTGTGCTGCGCGGTTCACATGTGGTTTGAGCGCTAAGAACAGAGCAAAGGATGAGAAAGCCTTTGCTGGATCGGGTACGCCCTCGTGGAGCGTGTGATAGAGGATGAGACTCGCCATTGAGGCCAATGTCGGCAATAGGGCGCACGCCGCTTCGAGCACCGCGCGGTTGTGCCATAATCGGCTTGCCGTGACCATCTCCACCACCCTCATCCCGCACAACTTGTTTAGGACCATGGTCTGGGAAGCCCACCCCGCGAGTTTGATCCCGCGGATGCCTTGGATGACTTGCTGCGTGCAGGCTGCTCGTCGTCTGCAGAGTCCGCTGAGATCCTTTTGCTCGCCCCAGATGCGGAGAGCGACGTTGGTGAAGATGGGGAGGCCTAGGAGCAAGACCACCATGCCACCTAGCGATGAACTGTCTATATTCGCGGCCAACATGGGGATCGCGAGAACAAAGCTAGCCGGTACAGTCCAGATAGCGTTGATACCGCTGATGCAATCCTCTATGCGCGATGCTTCCACGGATGCGAGATTGAAGACGGCGCCGGAGTTCCAGATTTGTCGTTTTGCCCTTCTCTTTGATTCTTGGCCTGTTTGAGATGAGACAATTGCCGCCGAAGAGGGCGGTGCCAGGAAGGCCTTGTCCATGATGATGTACGTGAGGGCAGCCTTTGCCTGGGCTCCAACACCTTCGAGTCTGTATCGCGAGGCGTTGATGAGGATGCCAGCAGCCATCTGTGTGAGTGTCATGGCTGCGACAAGAGCGTAGCTATGTGCCATCCGGGCATTGTGGCTCTCCCGCTGACCTTGCAAAGTCCCATCCGCTGTTGAGACTTTGGCGTTTTTGGTAGGTTCTGGTAAGGCTACGAGAAGCCAACGCAAGATAATGGGCGGGAGGGCGGCTGTCAGCATAGCAGCCAGCTCGATAAAGCCTCCTAGTAGAAGTCCACCGCGGAGACATTTTAGAAGGCTGATGGCAAGCCGACGACCTTGAGCTTGGGGATGCGTTGGGGTGTCGTAGAAACATCGAGAGAGCCCGCGGGCAAGGGGCTCTGCTTTCTTCCAGTCCGACAGCACGCCCTCGAAAGCGACTTCGACAGGGCCCTCATCGGCATCGTCAAATTCACTGACATCTTCTCCATCTAGCTTCTTGGTACTAGGAGGCGGAGGCGGCGCCCAAGAGAATAGCATCAGGCTAATCACCCAGCAGAGACTGGACCACATTGTGAATCGAGGCACATGCATCCTACCGGAAACTTCGAGCTCGATACGGCCCAGCTATTCACTCATTGTTCTGGAGCATAAGAGTAAAGGAGATCCACAGATAATGTTCAACAGCAACGCGACGAGATTTGCTTATGGTTTCTCCCCAGCCAGGAGCCCCAAGGATCTGAAACTTTGGTCTGGCGACAATTACTCAACTCGGGTCTAGCATTCACTGAGAGGTCAGTGTAGGCCTGGGCCGGAGCGGCATCAATCAAGCAAACTACTACGTATGTATACGATGGTTGTGCCGGGGGTTGACATTAATATAAAATACTTTGTTAGTCCATTGATATCCCACCGGTCGGCCCGGCGGCATCTAAGTGACAAGAACCTTATTTGAAAGCTCCACTGACAGGCGAGTATACCTGTGCAGGAAAGCTGAAGCATCGACTGATCTGTCGAAATCGATGTTCATTCCTTGTTCGTGGGTCAGGTTCTAATAAGACTCTTGTGTTCTGAATCATGTCCTCTAGTCGTGTCAGGAGTGGTTTTCATGAATTAATATAGAACATTCCGGATCGTAATATACTCATACTCAGACTGAGTCGCGTAACGGGCAGTCAATATTCAAGGGAGAATTGGAGGAAAGATTATCCAAAGCCCAGAGTGAACGGCCTTGAATTATATATCCGTTCAAGTCAAGGTTACGCGGAACTTTCCATCTTCGTGGTTGCCAAACTTTGCAATTACGCAATTGCTGCGAATGGTCATGTTACAATAGTGCAATAGCAGTTTCATCTAGATCTCACTGATCATCAGGTATCTTGATTAGCTCTCACGCCCTTCTCGTCGCCCCATCCTCAGTTGTAGAGGGCTTCTCCTGAAATCAATCTTTGACACCAATGCTGTGAGTTCACAGTAATTGTTCTTGGAATGCCAATTTTTGATGGATTCAACAGGCCAATCTTGTAGCTATGGCGAGGTTACGGTTGTGGCACACGTTTGCCATACTTGTCGACAGGAATGTTCTCAGACCTGACCTTCTTGATGACACCCTTGATGGCGTCCCAGTCACGGCACGTATGCATTTCGTGCTGACCGACCAATTTGGGTACAAAGTCATCATGACCCGGGTAGTGAATGAATTCAAATCGTTCCATGTTCATGTTTCCAGCACACATGGTGGCCTGGGTGTAGCTCGTCAGCATGTGGTCATCTTGTGGGCCGTTGAGGCTTTTCTCGAGCATTCAGCAATTATCTTACCTGACGAAGACTTTCGAGGCAGTGCTCAATGTGTTGGCGAGTGCAGACATCGTAGCCGCCGTCCAAGTCTAAAGCCAGCTTCATGTAAGTGGTGCGGAAGCAAACCTGTTCACAAGCATATAAGCTACGACAGCACGTTATATCAAGGGCCATCTTATAGAGTGTAATCATACCAAGCAATGTAGCTGATGGAAAACATTCCAGGCCACGGGTTGTAGACCTTCGGGTTGGAGAGCGTCTTTGTGGAAGTAGTCCGGGAGGCCATATTTGGACGGGTCATTCAGCGCAACGAAAGGCTTGCCAACTTCATTTCATAGGGTAAGTTTTGATCCGCAGCATGACAAGGAGCATGAATTATGCAGCGCTCCAGAGTTGAATGTTGAGTGGGCGGCATCGAATGGGACTTACATGAGATCAGATCGAGCCATCTCTGGTTCGCTCCCGGGGCTGTGAAGTTGTACGAAGAGTCGTGCTCAAACTTCTTTCGGACAAGTGGCACTGCGTCACTTTGGTCAGCTTCTTGCTATGGCAGCAGTATACTCATCACATACCGTCGGTGATGAAAGGTGCCTCATCAATAGTGGCCATGCCAAGCCCGGTAACAGAATCGACTTTCTTCGGCTCAGTGGCACACGAGGTCTGCCTTGAACCCAAACTGAAGCCGTAGGTACCCAGGAAGAAGCCAATAGCAACAGAAACAATGCAGCACAAGAAGGTCGATACCATCAGCATGCGATAAGCAGAGTGCGTGAAGCGGTCAGGCTGGGGCAGCATTCTTGAGCTTCCTTCGCCTTCGGATCCCTCTTCGCTCTGGTGCACCTCCGAATATTCTGTCTTGGTATTGTTGAAAACCATATTTGTTAATTGGCCGTCTTGATTGACGGAACCTCAAAAGTGAAAAGAGATGGAGAGAATTCTGACGAAGTCAGCCACATGATCGGATTCAGGTGCCATATATGCATCCCATCGCTCTCATTCTGACATTTGGGGCAGATCAACCCCAGCCGGTCGGCGGAGTCGAACGGTCAACTTTCTAATAGAGTTCTGCCTCACGACGCTTCGTCTACAAATCTCAGAAACCTTGGTTATCGTATTATAGGCTGCGCGAGGTGTTCGCTAGCTCTCTCCCCCCGTCCCTAGTCCTAGAAGTCGGACATGCTGACACTGCTGAGTAGCATGGATCGCCAATAGCTCTAGTCATGTCGTTTGTACAGAGACAAGATTAGTCGGACAACTTGTTAAAGTTAATGAAGCCGTTGTAGCGACTGACGAGTCATTTCAGACGAAGAGCAGTACTTCGTACCGAATGCGCGGGTCTGATTGTACGGGTCCGACCCTAGTTTAACTTTCCTTAAACTTCCATGGATGATCAAGGATGCGAGACCGAGCCAGGGTATCCGAACTTTCGTGTTGCACGTCCAACGACGGAGTCAAGCTGGCCGAAGCCGAGATACAACAGAACGGAATCAACCAAAAACACTGCCACTTCATCACGGGGAACATGTACTCTTGGAGAAATGACCGAGATCTAAGTACACCCTCCTGGCGTGGCAGTGGCGGCCAGACTGATGTAAACACAGCTGACTGAAGTTGTCCATGATATGTGTACTTTTCGACTTGCTATAGCTTCCTTAACCAATGCCCAAACATGCTTTGCGACATTGACTATTTTCAAACTTGACCGAATCACCTGCAGCTGTGCCTGTGTACTTATCAAGCCATGTGCTCAACACCTAATGCGATCCTCTACTTCGGGGATCAGTCTCTGGGTGTCAACACTTACAGCGAATCGCTGAGGTGCCTGCGCAGGAGAGCCATACCTCCCTCGACACATCTGCATAGGCTCTCGACGCAGCGGCTGACGGGCGAGCAACATAATGTGCTCGAGTGGGCAGAAATGGTCGCTTCAGATGTTGCCTACCGGGCAGATCCGATGTCATCTGCTCTTGTGCCTTGTATATCACAGCTTGGCTCAATGATCTGGTCAGTTGTACTTATGTTCTGAAAGAACAAAGCCTATCCTAATGTCAAGAACTGACGGATGAGGGTTTTCCCCGATGATATGCAGGAAGTGTCAACAAGACCCAAGTATACTTCATGACACTCATCCCAAGATCCTAGTGGGCGAATGCATCGGGCTCATCCTCGCATGCAGTGTTGCGGCGGCAAGAGATACGGGACACCTCGTCGATCTTACCCTGGAGACATTGAGAATCGTGAAGCGTGTAACGGAATTTGCTACTCAACGCTCTTGGGAGTTGGAAGATCATCCCGGTTCGGTCTGGGCTGTTGCGGTTCAGCTACCAAGACACGACTGCATCGCCGCCATGGCGCATTGCCCTGGCTATGAAGTAAGAGAACAGGAGTAGCTTTCAAAATCATCTCATCCCCATCACCCTGGCAAGCATTGGTGAGGATCACGTAAAGCTAACAAAGTGCGCCTTTAGAAGGTTTCGGCTCACAAGAGAGCGTATGTGAGCTTTGAGCTGGAAGAGTGGTCTGTCATCTCAGGCCCACCATCAACACTGAGTCAACTACGCCTAAAGACCTTCTGCAATACGCCAATGAAAGACCTGCCGATCTTTGCTGCATATCATGCAGAACACCTTCGTGAACCTAAGTAAGGATACGCGGCTCATCTCCTAAGGTGACTACGATGTAAGAGGGGATATCTTACTAATATTAAACCGATCCAGTTATGATGATATCTTAGGAGACTCTCCGCTTCTCGACTCACCAATTCAGTCTCGTGTCTCTATCTTGTCATCTAGCACCGGAGAAGTGGTGAAGGGCAGCTCATTACGGGCCATATTGCCGCAGGTACTCCGCGACATTCTACAGCGGCCTTCGTGTCCAGCACGAGTGGCGAAACAGATTGCTCATCAACTCGAGCCAGTCAAATCTCCTTCAGATTTATACACTTTTGGCCCAGCATCTCAATGGAGTGCTTTTGCCCGTCGCTTAAAGAACTCGGGGGTTGGCCTTGGTGCCATCTTCAGTCCCGCCCTTCTTCAACATAAACGGACAGGCGACAGCATGAGTGGATACAATCACGGTGACAGTCATAGCGACGATGAGGAGAGCGATGAAGAGGGAAATGAAAATCTCATAGCAATCATCGGCTACTCTGGCCGCTTTCCAGGGGCTGAAAGTGCGGAAGAGCTGTGGGATGTACTTTATGATGGCCGTGATACCTCGAGCCGAGTGAGTGGGGTCATGGTTAACACTTGTACGGGCTGTTTGCTGATTGATTATCCAGATGCCACGTGAAAGGGTCTCCGATAGCCATGGCGATATCTTGCCCACTGGGTGCTTCATCGAACAAGCCGGACACTTTGACAGAAAGTTCTTCAACATGTCGGGCAGAGCAGCTTTGCAGACAGACCCATCACAGAGACTTTTGCTACTCACGACGCAAGAGGCCTTGGACATGTCAGGCTATAACAAGGATACCCATACACAGCACGTGGGAACATTTGTTGGACAGGCTACGGATGACTGGCGCGAACATAACATGGCGCAGGACGATCCATACTACGTGACAGGAGGTCTGCGCGCCTTCGGCCCCGGCCGTCTGAATCACTTCTTTGGATGGGATGGCCCGTCAGTCTCAGTGGACACGGCTTGCTCCTCCAGCGCCATGGCTCTAGATTTGGCCGTGCAGTCTCTTCGGGGACGCAAGTGCAATATGGCCATCGCTGGCGGGGCCAGCATCATCTCAGGTCATGGTGATGCCGGCATGTACGCGGGTCTCCGTTGCGGCGGATTTCTGGGAGCCTCCGGCACAGCCTGCAAAACCTTCGACGCTACAGCGGACGGCTATACGCGGGCTGAGGCAGTGGCTGTTGTCGTCCTTAAGCGTCTCAGCGATGCGCGAAGCGATGGGGACATAATTCATGGCGTCATCAGGGGCATCGTCACGAATCACTCAACGGACACAAATCCCATCACTCGCCCGTCCGCAGAAGCTCAGAAGTCATTATTGCGTCGTGTTATAAGCGAATCGTTGAGGCAACCTGAAGATGTGGCTTATGTCGAGCTTCATGGATCCGGGACCCAGGCAGGTGATCTTGCAGAAATTGAAGCTGTAGCCGCCGTTCTTGGAGGGCCGCGTCGTCGCCCTAGGGGCTCACCAGGCAAACCATCCAGTGAGCTACGTATCGGCAGCATCAAGGCCAATATTGGACACAGCGAGGGTGCAGCCGGTATATCAGCCTTGGTGAAGGCGCTTCTCATGATTCGTCATGACCGAGTTCCTCCACATATCGGGCTCAGGACAGAGCTAAACCACAATTTCCCTCCGCTGGAAGAGTTGGAGATTGTCATCAACTCGATAGCTAAGCCCTTAAAGCCACTCGAAAAGTCTTCTAAACAATGTCGATGCCATTCAGCCATCGTACTAAATTGCTTTGGAGCAGCTGGCGGGAACACCAGTATACTTGTGGAAGGCTCAAAGAGGCACTCAAAAACCACCAGAAAACAACCCAACCGCGAAGAGGTTCACATAACAAAGCCACAGCAACGCATCGTTGTGGTTTCTGGCAAAAGCCGTTCTGCACTTCAAGCCAACAAGATGAGACTTCTTGAGTTCGTCAGGAAGGAGCCTTCTGCAGCGATTGACGACTTGTCTTACACCACATGTGAACGAAGAAGTCACTTTCCATACCGCTCTGCATACAGGGCTAGAAACACGACGGAGATTATCAAGCTTCTGCACGATGGCACAAATGAAGCATCGCCTCAATTTCGAAATGCGCCACAAGCGCCGCATATTGTCTTCGTGTTCTCCGGGCAGGGCGGGAAAATCGCTGGTTCGGCCCGGCCGTTATATGACAGCAACAGCGCCTTTCGGGATGCTTTAGACAACTACAACAAACTCAGTGAGTCCCTGGGATTTTCCGGAGTCTTGCAACACCTTATCACTCCCGATATAGCGCAAGCTTCTCCGAGTACCGTGCTAGAACAGGTCGCACTTATCGTGTTTGAGCTTGCTGTCAGCAAGATGTGGAAGAGCTGGGGCGTTGCGCCCGCGACTGTACTCGGACATAGTCTGGGAGAGTATGCGGCTCTGCACTTATGCGGCGTTCTCTCTGCTGCAGATGCTATTTGGCTTGTGGGCAAACGCGCAGGCTTGGTGCAAAAGTCTTGCCAGCCTGATACCCACAGGATGCTGGCTGTATTGGCCGAAGAGGAACGGCTCACTCCGTTCCTGGCAGAGTACGCAGTCGAGGTTTCATGCAGAAACTCGAGAAGTCAGACTGTAGTTGGTGGGCCATTCGACAGTATCTTGCAGTTGCAAAGCCGTCTCAAGGTACATGGCATTAAAAGTGCCTTGGTCAAGACACCATACGCATTCCATACGGGTCAGATGGACGGGATTCTGAAGAATCTGCTCGCTGTTGGTGAACAAGCTTCCTTTGCCAGTCAACCACAGATCAACTTTGTATCAACGGTGACGGGTTCGCTGATCGATGCTTTCCCGTCCGGGCCCGAGCATGTAGCCAAACACGCCCGCCAATCTGTACTATTTTCCGACGCCATCGAGTCTGCGATGACACTGAGCCCTGGTCGAAATACCATATTCCTGACGATTTCACCAACATCGATGTGCAGAGACATGACTGCGTCAAACATCACCACCGGGAAAGAAAGCATGGCCGAGGTTCTCGAAGCTACAAGAACCGGAAGTCAGGCATGCCTTGACGCTATCACCTCCAGCATGACTAGGCTTTACGATTCTGGGGTTGACATTGACTGGAGCCGATACCATGGTTCGATGAAACAGATCGGAAGTCTGCTAGAATTACCAGCCTACAGCTTTGATCTAAAGAATTTCTGGATTCCTCTAGAGCAAAGCCGCCACCTCCCTTCATCATCACCGTCATTATCGTCATCCTCACTCTCAACACAACTGGATACACCTATGTCTGAATGTACACTCAACTTAGAAGACGACATACACACTATCGAGAAACCACTTGTTACGAATATCCAAGAAGAGCCGCTAAGAAGTCTCATAATTGGTCATGCAATCCGTAACAAGGCCATATGCCCTGCAGGCGTACTGGTTGACATGGCCTTCGCTGTTGTGCTAGAAAGGATCGGCAAACGGGTGGGCCTCGAGTCTATCGGGCTGAGATCACTACGCCTGATCGCGGCTATCACGATAGACACTGATACTGTCAACGATTCCATCCAGACTCTTGAGACAACATTGCAAAAACGGACTGTAGCCCCAGAATTCGATGTCACTTTCAGCGGTGTCGAGCGTCAGACTCATCACGCAAGTTGCATCCTGCGAGTGATGGAAGACGCCAATGGTATAAGAGGCGAGCACACGACTCGCACACTCATCCGGGCCGTCTCTCGTATAAATTTGCTACGAAGCAACACCGCTTCCAGCTACTTCAATGGGCAGATGATCTACAAGATGTGGACGTCCGTTATGCAATACTCTTCAGAGTATCATGTTCTCCGGAACCTCACACTAGCACCCCTCGGTTATGAAGCCTGCGCGAAGCTTCAAACAACATCAACGGCGGGGCCCGCAAACCGAGAGTACACGATCGACCCGGTCTGGCTGGATGGTGCCATGCAGGCCGCTGGATTCACAGTGAACATGAATGTGGCTGCTGATCCCGGAGCGGTGTACGTTCTCACCGGATGTGCGGCCATCGACTTCTGGGAGCGTCCGCGAAGCAACAACATGTACGCTTGTTACGTCCACGGCGAAGCAGACGTGTTAGGCGATGTCATCATGAACGTTGCAATATTTGATGAGGACAACGACATGTCCCCGGTGGCAGCTATTAGTGGCATGCGCTTCCACAAACTGAAGCAACGACCGGAAACCAAAAGCAAAAGTGGTAAAGGCTACGAGGACGCCACGGTACGAATGAACGGGGATGAGTCCAGCAATCAGGTCATCTCGCCTACAACTAAGTTGTCAAATCCAACTTCCTTTTCTCCGTCAAAGAGTGTGAGACTCGATGAAAATAATGCAGTCGCCGATTCAGGCCCAGCGAGCTTGATTCATACACTCATCTCAATACTGGCCAAAGAGACGCATGCAGACCCCGAAGAGATTGGCCAAGACACCGCACTAGCCGACGTGGGTGTCGATTCCTTGATGGCCCCTACCATATCAGATACCATTCGCGTCAAGTTAGGCGTTGAGATTCCATTGACAGCTCTAATAGAAGCTCAAACTGTCAGCGACCTTGCCTCGCTTTGCGCGGATATCAATCCCGCAAACGTCGAACCCAGACTAGGTAAAGATGCTGCTGAGAAGTCCAGGATCTCACTCAGGAGCATCGCCCGGGTATCAGACGCAACAACTCGCGCTACGAGTGCTGAACTTTCGAGTAGAGTTGCTCTCTTGCAAGGTTCCAGTCATTGCAAACACAATTTATTCCTCCTTCCCGACGCCTCCGGAAGCAGCTCCGTGTACGCAGGGCTTCCGCCGAACCTATCCCAACAGACCGACACGAGAATCTATGGTCTTGAGTCGCCATTCCACGGCACTAGTTCCATACCCGACCTCTCAATGGATAGGTACTGTTCACTATTCGTCGAGGCAATTCTTCGGATCCAACCAACGGGTCCGTATCTCCTTGGTGGCTGGTCGATTGGAGGGCGCCTTGCATACGAATGCGCAAGACAGATCATACAACTGGGACATGAAGTTTCGGGACTTCTCGTGATAGAGTCTTACGCAGAGATGACGCCCAATCTCTGCTTGAGTCCTGAGGCGATCTCAGTTGAGCATCTCGAGGCGACAGGGTTCTTTGGATGGTCTGGAGGTCATGCTTCGTCAAGCATGGCTGAGTGGCAGAAGAACCACATGCTATATCTCATCCTCATGAACAGCGCCTTCAAACTTGAACCCCTTTACGAGGACAAGAAGGAGAACACTGCGATGTTGCATTTAGTCTGTTCATCAAACGGCGACTTTTCGCTGTTCCCAGCTAAAGTTTTGCAAAAAGCGCTGGAATTGAGCAACGGATCGTTTGGCGATGCCATAAACGGCGATCATGAAGACTGGTTGAAGGAACCACGACCGGAAAAATCTATAGCCCGGCTCACAGAAGAATGGCAAGAATTAGCAGGGCCACGTTTGAGGCAGCACGTAGTTCAGGGAGGACACTTTGACATCATGATCCCAAGAGTGAATGAGGATCTAGCACATGTCATCGCAGAGGCATTGAGATGTTTCTGCGAGCCCTCGGTACAGGAAGTGAGAGGATAAAAAATTGGTTCTTTCTAAGCAGCTCAACAATCTATAGACTTAGATACATAGCTTTTGTTCACTTCACGGAAAATTTGGGTTAACAATTATCATTATCTTGAAGATACACTCTGTCTTCCGGAGTTTTTGTTACTCTCTCAGTCTTCACTTTGAATGGCGTATTTGCTGAAAAAAGTCAATAACGGAGCGAGAGAGGAGGACCAGGGGAGTAGGGGCGTGGATTACCCTCGAGACACACCCTCATCCAGATCTCCTACCCGGAATCCTGGATGAGCAATTACGAGTCAGCTCAATCTGTGCCAAGTTAGGTTTATCCCCCTTGCTATAATAGAAACCTAGTCCGCGAGCCCCGGTACATGACACCTGCGCTCACTTATAAAGACTCACGAGTGAGAAGCAAAACCTCGGCCGAGATGAGAAGCTTTCAAGAGATACTGCGGAAACGAAAATATGGCAAACGGGAGCGAATACACAAGTGACTCGTCATTATCGAAAATGGAAATTTCAGAAAAGCCTCGTCTCATTGACTCCGTCACCAACACGAGAACGCGCCCGATGAAGCTACTGTTGCTCGGACTGCCGCGGACGGCCACGGAATGTAAGTCATCCCATTCAAAAACACGTTCATCCCATATCGCAACACCCTCAACTTCCACAAACCCAAACCATGCTATTTTACTAACTCAACCCGACAGCACTAAACAGCGCCCTCGAGCAACTCGGCTTCAAAGTCTTCTCCTTCCAAGCAATGTGGCCAACCTGGCAAGAGTCAATCCCGCTCTGGACGGAAGCCATCGAAGCAAAGTACCACAACCGCTGCAAACCCTACGGCCGCGCGGAATTCGACAAGCTCCTGGGCGACTTCGACGTCGTGAAGTGCCCGCACGCCCTCCTCTTCGCCGAGGACCTCGCCGCCGCCTACCCGGAAGCCCGCATCATCGTCTCCAAGCGCGACTACGAACCGTGGCGCGCCTCCATGGAGAAGACGGTCTTCAAGCTGCGCCGCTCCCTCGTGTTCCGTCTGCTGCACCCGCTCGACCCCTTTCGCGCCGCGTGGTGGCCGTTCTTGCGGCTCATCATGGACACGGCGTACGGCGGGTGGGCCGAGGCGGTACCCGGGCGTAGACCCTATGACGAGCACCACGCTCGTGTCGAAGCCATCACGCGCGAGACGCCGGAGAGGATGCTCGTCTTCTCCGGGCCCAAGGATGGGTGGGTGCCGCTGTGTGACTTTCTCGGCTTGCCGGTGCCGGAAACGCCCTATCCGTGGACGAACTCGGGAGCAGACTTTTTCGAGAAGCAGGGTCACCGCGCGGGCGAGAGGCTGTTGCTGCGCAAGCTGGCTGAGAGAGTGGCGGTCGTTGCAGGGGTTGGATTAAGCGTGTATTGGTTCCTGCGACGCTCATAGACTTCAGAAGTTGGATGCCAGCTTTGCTCTCGTCCTCATCTCGCGCGGCTACTGATTCATTTCGACTTGTCTGTTCTCGCGCCGTGACTTATTCTCAGCACCCGAGCCGGGTTCCCGTCTTGGTACGTAGTACCCGAGAAGCCGACGTCTATTGTAGCGGGACTGTGACTGGATGACCTCGGGACCCTGAGTAGCTCCAAGGTCTTCCGTTCAGTTTCTTCAAAGCCAAGATGAGTCGATCTTCTCAAACGGTGAAACAGTAGTACTTGATGAATGAACCACGTGGTAGCGCATCATTCGAAACATGATTATCTCATCGCGGTCTTCTACATCTGTGACATGGCTACTTCGATTCCGAGATACACAGCTCAGGGTAGACTCGGACCTCCAGAATGCCAATGATACTGCATCAATGTTTTGCAGATCCAGTCGGAGTATCAGATGGAACCAAAGGAGCGGTAATACGTCAGTGCCAATCAGGTGCGAGACCAACGAATCTGTACGACTCGGGACTCTCTTGGAGTGGCGACTATTGTCACTTGCTTTCTACTCGGCCGTAGTTACGGCTTCAGATGTGACCATCACTGTGGCTATGCCCATGATTGGTTTACCATAGCCATCTTCGACCATCCTATCAGAACTGCTTGTCGACTTGGTGCTGTGCCCCCTACCTGTAACATGGTATTTGGCTGGCTCAGGGCTCCCGGATGAGGGCGTTCCTGGCATACTGTGCTCTCTCACCTGCTGTAGCTGGCATATGGCTTACTTGCCGTTTTTGCAGGATAGACGAAAGATACGCTCTCCTGCTACAGCCTAGGAAATAGCTGGTGATGAGTCTAGAAGTCGCACACATTCTTACGCCCACTTGCCCAAGCATAGCCATGTTAGCTGGACAGAAAGACGAGCAAGGGCTAGCGACACACTTATCAATAGTGTTGGTTGCACGGGTACTTTTTCTCGTGACGCACGGCAGTGAAGTAAGAAGTGAACGGGCATGGGCATGAGATTTCCCATAAGGCTACATCGACGGTGACAGTGCACTGCCGACGTTTCTGTGCAGTTGACAGCCGAAAAGCGTATGAGTCCATGGGCTGAGGTTGAGACATACTCTGTATTATCTCGCCGCTTGGATGATCCGGTCCTATCACGTCTTCACATCCCGTAGGCTGGGCCGAGTCATGCTGTAAATATATTGGAGGCGCGCAGATGCGTAGCGGGAGAACGTCGTTGGTTGTCTCGTTCGCAGTGAGACAGTGTCGAGGGGCTCGGGGAAAAGGGACTTTTCCCTTCCTTTTCCGTTTTCTTGACCTTGAGACCTGCAGGAGGCTTCGCAATTGAAGCTCAATCCAGACCTAGATTTTGCGGATTTACACTACCTATCACCTCTTCGTCTCTCAACCATGTCTCTGTCATGATCTTGTTCTCTGCGTCTATCTCCTCTATTGCATGGGGGGCCAAGAGCCAAAAGGACCGCGGTGACTGGGATCCTGTTGGTTCTTCCGCTCACCGAGATAAGATGTTTGCCTGCAGTGAGAGACGCCACCACGGGTAAGGACTGGGAACGAGAGAGGGGTCGTTGGAAAGAGGCCTGTTGGAAAACATCGTGAGTGCCGAGGCGCCGCGAATCGTCTCCAGGAGGGGAGGAGCAGGAAGAAAACGAAAGGTAGAACGGCAGGGTAACCACTCGGCAAGAGTGATATGTGCATGGTAATCACCATTCGTAATTTGGATCCTCAAGATAAAGAAGAATCGTCAAAGACATGCATAGTAACCATTCGAAGACGCGCCCTGCGATGTAACGGGAGAAAAGAGACATCAACAACATGCAGCTTTCCTGGCGCAGATTTGGCCGCGACAACTTTCACGATAATCGTCGTCGATTACAAGGCCACCTACCCTTCGGCATTCGAGTTTTGGACGAGCCGTCACAGAGAGTACAAGGAGGTCAGATGATCCTTTTTGGGGATCGCGTCCAATGCTGCTGGTCGAGGGAAAGGATGGGTGGCACGAGCAGGGAATCGGCCGAGGATATGAACGGATGGGTCGGAAACACCGGGTCTTGTCTAGGAAGGCAAGCATTCTGCTGTAGTTTTTCGGCGCTTGCAATTCTTCAGCGCTCGTTCCTTGATGATCGCTTTGTCGCTCTGGGGTGCTTCATGTACCACTATGGTTCGAAGTGCTGTATCTGTCGTCGAGACCTCTACGACTCCATACATAGTGGGTGAAGCATTATGCCGGGGCGGATGGGTTAGAGCACCCGAAACCAGAAAGATTCGATTACGGGATGCCAACATCGTGAGTCTAGGTTTTTTGTTGTGTGATGGCGTTCCGCAGGCAGACCACTCTGTCCTGAAGAACTCGAGTTAGGCAGACTTAAGCTCGGATATAATGGGAGAAAGCAATGCGGGAGCATGCGTGTGTCGTGGCCAACATGTGGTTGTCATGGCTTTCGTCGGGCATGGGCCGTGCCGCAGGGTGTCGCTTGACGATACAACGAGACAAGTGATGAGAGGAGGACTATCCAAATAGATTCGGTGATTTGAAAGGTGCCACGGGAATCCTGAATGCTTGGTCTGACGATGAAGCCGTCATTTGGTCGCACTATCAGGGGCGAGTAGAGAATTTGGGACACCAAAGGAAACGGTGTCTCTCAAACGCATGATAGCCCGCGCAGCGTGGACAGGCTGCATCGAACACTGCCTGGTTCTTCTCCCCTCTGCTTGAAGGTCTAATGGAAACCTCCGCATTGCATGGGTCTGTATTCCCGCAGCTTTCCAATGCTCCCTCGAGGTGCTGGTGTGCGTCTGTGTGGGAGGATTGGCAAGGGTCGACACGGGTAGCCGCAGTTGTCGGTCGAGACTGGAGACGTGATCGCAGGGACAGCTGGCAGCCCGGGAGGAATCAGATCAGAGTCCGAGGTAGGTGAAGCCGAATGGAGAAAGAGGCGCGCATATTGTCATTCGAGAACAATGATTCGGGCTTTATCTCAAAAACGATAATCTGGAGGTCGTCTTCAGCCGGACGTAACTGAAGGAGAGATCGTAGAGCAGCAAGATCGGTTCGGGGCTCGACGCAAGGAACGCAGGCGCCGGGGAGCACATGAGGCTGCTCATACCACGGCATCGGCGAGGGTTGTAGTTACAGGATATGTAAGCCCTGTATTTCTTTGCGGCTGACGTCAATATCAGATCCAACATTTTGCCGAGACAGCCTGCCCCTCCAAAGACGGCTCGAAGAATATGCATGCCTACTTACCCAAAAGGGAGAGAGAACAAGGCGACATATGAAGTATCACCCACCGCTGTCTCCTTATTCGCTAGTCCGCGGCATGAAACGAGGCAACCAAGAAAGAAGAAGTCGAGAGCAAGGCATGGGTCACAAGACTCGGCCAGCTGTCCTCTCTGGTGATGTCTTGGCCGGCGTTGAGGGCCCGGGAGACGATAATGCTCTCCAGACCGGCTGCTGGTTAAAGGCGGTGAGGCAAACCGACACACAAGAAGGATCAGATGTTGGAGGGTCTACGTGAGTGCGATGACTTTCATGGTGTTGAGGGGAGGTTGGTCCTTCAAGTGTCGTGATGGAGAAAAGTATAAATCTGCGCAACTCCCTCCTTCACCATGCCTTCTTTCCTTTTGTCTCTCGAACACCCTGCGACGCACTCTCCTCTATCTCACGATCTTCATCCAGAGCAAAGCACCCATCAAATCTGGGAACGGCACCTGAGCTCTTCTTTTATTAGCAACGTTGTTATATCTTATTGCATCATTATGAATCGTGGGAACACGACCTCATCATCTGCCATGGCGAGTGATGAGAATGAAACTTGCGGCTGCATCGATGATGGCTACTCTGGCAGGTGGGACTTCAGAACTTGCACTCATTGCGGTGGGCACGAAAGGTGAGGCAATCCCCAATCCAGAGTCTGCTGGACTCTACGTTGACGCTTGTCACGCAGAAATCCATGCAAAACCTGCGACTCCCGAGGTGTAGTCAGAGTCCCCTGCCCTCATGGAGCTGCTGGTCAAGCTCAAGCTCTGAGTTCTCGGCCAAGAGCCGATGATCAGAACAACAAACCGGGACCCAAGGGACCGACGGGACCGACAGGCCCGGGTCAAGGTGTTGCCGGTGCCGGCTGCCACTAAACCACGGCAGCCGACGCCATCATTTGGTGTCCGAACAACCAGATAAACTCCATACATATCTAATAGAACGTTCATCTTTTCTTGAGGTTTAGTCTGGTTTGGAATTGGGCTTCGTATAGGTATAAGGTACAGGGCGTTGGTGTCATGCGCGGACGGCTCATCCCAGTTCCACTGCGTTAAGTACAGTGTTCGTCGGGAATCTAGGCAACAAATAGCACGCCAGTCCGGTAGGAGTCTGAAATCTTCATATTTGAGATCAGATAAAGGGATAGAAGAAACTTGGAAGGAAATACGACTCTTGTTTCGATGCTGCTTATATCCTTGATGAATATCGAGTGTCTCTTGACGGGGTCACTTACTCTCGCTTTCCGAGCTGCCGCAGGTAAACCACGACATGGACGGAACAGTTGGTGCCAAAACAAACCTATACTGGTAGCAGCAAATGCCGAATTCTTTCCCTACTTGTGTCCCCTTCGCTTATCCGGAGGAACGGAACCACTCAAGTACGTCCTTCGTGACTGCAAGGACGACCGACGGGAAACACAGAGAGAGGATCCGCTCAACCCTACGAGGTAGCGTGGCATCAGCCGGTTTGTGTACCGCCGCGGAAGACAACCCGGTCATTGCTACTGGAGCGATATCGAAAGGGCCGTGATCACGCGAAAGGAGCCGGCCTCGACACACAAGATACCATACAGTCATCGGTTACTTTACAGACAAGTAAGCGCCTTGAATGGAAATCGTACCCCGCTCCCTTCTCTCCCTCTAGGAACCTATGAAGTATATCCGCGGGTCGGGCAGACTCATAGCGGAGTTCAAGCCCTTTTTTCCCAGATACTCGTGAAAGAACCAAGTATG